AAAAGTATCCAACAAATAAAATGGTAATTACTTTAAACACTTTATGGTTTGATGGTAACAATTTGCATTTTTATTTTCTAAAAATTACACTTCACATTGTATAAATTTAAGGATGAATTTTTCGTCAAGCAATTAATGAAAATACTAAAATACTTTTGTATAAAATTCAAACTTGATTTATTTCTTTCTTTATGTTCATTCTCGTTTTCCTCTCTCTCTCTCTCTCCTTTTTACTTATCCAAACCACAATCACCACTAACTACATGCAAAAGCACCTCTGCTAGTCGAATCACCACCACTCATGGCTAATCCTTTCTAACATACCATAACAACTAATAATGTACACTTTCAAACCCACGAATCAAATTTTATGGTCCATCAAAATTAAAAAGAAGAACAAAGAGACAAATTCAACATGTGCAAAGATATTCAAGCTTAAGAAGAAGATGAATCAAATTCGGATTTTAGTGGACTTGATCTTGTAGGTTAGAGTTAGCTTTTACAATACTTGGGTGGTTGCAAATATTTCAATTTCATCATCAACATCAAGAAGAAGAGGAATCAGATTGGAATTTTGGTGGACAACATTTTGATTCTAATAGATTTGTTTGAATTTAATTCCTATATGAGATTATAACTAGCGAGCAGTGGCTAAGATTGATTATATCTCAACTACAAAGAGCACTAACACCGATGGCGGCTTGATCATTGCTGGTGCTAACAGCCAAGCTAAAGAGTGGAGAGGGGAGAGAGCAGCCAACATTGATAACAATTTCCTTAGATATCTTAGTCTTGCATCCAAATGGATAGCTGGCTGCTTATTGAACAAATGATCTACCATGATAAATCTTGCGAATTCTGATACTATTTATGGAATTGAATGTTTGTAGGAGTGAGAGTGGAGGACTGTAGAATTCTGAATTCATAAAGAGGCAACAAAACCTTCAATTTTTAGAGGATTAGAACAAGTAGTTTGTCTACTTGTACATGAGTTTGAACAAGAAAAGTCCATTTAATTGTGCTTTCCATTATTGGTTCTATTCAAGTTTAGGGGTTTTTCAACATGTATCTAATGAAAAACTTGTAATAATTTGATTTTTTTTTTTTTTGCTAGAATTTAATATATGTACTTTTTGATTTTTTTTTTTTTTAACAAAGTGAAGTAAATGTACTTGTTAGTTTTTGCCTGAAAACGGCTCCATGGAGTGCATGTGTGCTATGAAACAGCGATTGAGACAGACAACCATTGGTGTTTTCCCAATTTATGTTTGTATTTGCTTTCATGAAGTTTCCTAACCTGTCATTTGAGCCAGCGATTTAAACTCTTCCATCTTTTGTTTTTCTCTCTTTTTTCTTTAGGTTGCTAGTGTAAATTCTGAAGCAGCACAGTCTTTGCAATCGCCAAGAAGCTTCCTGTCTTGTTTTACGTGACAGTGTTCAGAACTTTAGATGGGTGAAAAACATCAAGCCATGTGAAGCCTCTCTCAATTATAAAACAGGGATATTCCGTCAGTGAACACGTTTTTATTTATTTATTTTGTTTGATATAAGTGATAATATTCTCTAAGTCAACTTTTAGACATCAATACTAGATTTTTTTTTATCCGATCTTAAACAGATTATTTATATCTAGATTTATGTGTTAATAAAAAGGATTAATTTTTTATACCCTATCTAGTAGAAGTGATTATCTGGTTTGGTTTTTAATATTTTATTTTGGTTTTTGGTTAATTGAACCTTAAAAAAATCGAATTCAAATCGAATTACCATTTAGTATTTGAAACCAAAATTTTAGTTTTTGAGCTCGATTTTTCAGTTAAAATCGATTTTTTTCTTAATTTTTTTTAAATATCGCAAATAGGTAAATATATATATATATATATATATATATATATATATATGGACTATGGAGTGTTCTTTCTCTAGTCCAAATTATCTAAATCAGCTTATATGAAACACAATAAATGTTTTTTTGAATAAGACTAACCAAACCACATGATAAGATATAAAAATTCAAATACAAATCTATTAAACCACACATAAAATATATAATGATAAAAAAAATTGATTGTTCAAACATATTATAAACTAAACTACTAGAATTCAACTAAAAATTAAAAATTAAAAGTTCAAAATGAGAAAAAAAAATAGTTTCGGCAAAAACCAGTCCTAAATTGAAAAAAAAAATAATTTTGGCTTTTTTTTTCCTAAAAAGAATTATAAGTTAAAACTAAATCGAAATTAATATTTCAATTTCAGTTCATTTTGGTTTTTTGATTTAAACCCAAGACAACTCACTTCTGCTGTCTATAATAGTATTGATGGTATATTTCCTTTTTATTAACTAGGTTATGTCTTAAAAGATATAAAACTAACTTTATTTGTATATCACATGTATTCATTAGAAAAATAAGTGTCTCGTTTTTAGATTCATAAAGGAGCATGAGGAGAAATTGGTGTTCAGAATAAATTTATTTGACTGAAATTTGATACCCCTTTTGTTTATTAGATGCACATGAGAGTGAGGTGTTGAATTGGTGACATCGTGCCAATGTTTGTATAAAAAATTGATTATGTAAGAAAAATATTATGTTAAAGAAACAACTTAGAATGGAAGACAATGAGCTGTAAGGAAAAAGAGATGGAAGGTGGATAATGATTTGGAGAAAGACAAAAAAGAAAAGAAACAAAAACTAAAATTTGTTCTCGTGTAAAAACAATTTTTACTGACCTTTAAATTAACATTTTAACTTTTTTTTATTTTCTCTTCGTATTTTTATCTTACATCATAAATATAACTAATTATATTCGAAATGAAAATGATAAAATTTAACTCTTTCTAATAAGTATAGCTCTATGATTTGAATCCTATACATTGAAAAAAATTCGTCTAAAACTTAAGTCGCTTATCACTAAATTAATAACTATTTTAATAACTTATTGATCATTTTAACTTTCTTTTGTATATTATTATTATTATTGATTTTGATACATTTATAAAAAGTTTAGTTTTTATAGTTTTCATTAATATTCGAAACTTCGAAGAATAATATACGAAACAAATCCATTCGTCATCCAAAATTAACTCTTTAAAAAATCTGCCCGTTCATTCTCACTCCAAAGACTAACCAAACCAAACCTCAATTAACTTTCAACACCTTCCATGCCCAATCCAAACATAAGCTAAAGGTGAAAGAGTAGGAGTGAACATGTCCAAAAGGTAAGGACTTAATTTGCAACTTCGTATTAAAGCTATTTTGTGATAAGGGACTCATATGACAAAAATCAAAATTGAAGAACCAAACCTGTCAGATCAAGCTGACACGACTATGGTGGCATTGTGTAAAATAACAAGCCTATAGCTCGTACAGAGATAGACATGTTTTTTTTTTTTTTTGGAAACTGTACGGTTCCTCGTCACTGCCACGCACGCTGGGACCAGGTCTTATCTCTTCTACCCAATCATTTAAGACGGTTCTATTTTTTGCACGAAATCAGAAAGCAGCAATTCAGCAAACGATATATAATAAAAGAGAAATTTTAAAAATTAATTATCGATAATTACTTTTTATATATATATATATATATATTCACAAAAAATAAAAGAAATGTCTGTTGCTTTTTGATTTGGTGTATGAGAAATTTTTATGTTAACAATTATTTTTTTTAATTTTTATATCTCATAGTTCTTTTTTGACAATTATTTTTTTACATCTATATTTTTTATATGAAGTATTATTAGTCACTCATTATATATCCAGTGGTATAAAATTTGACTGTTAACATAAAAAATCATTTTCAGTCACTGCACATAAATTACATGGCATAAGTAAATAGATACAACAAGAATTTTCTAAACGTGTAGGTAAAAAAAAATAAAAAAATTGTTGATTGATATACAAATTGATAAAAAAAAATATCTATTATCATCGAAGAATTTTCTGAAAAAGATTTGTTTTTTATTTTCCGTATTGCTCTAGAGATATATCCCCATTCCATCATCTAGAATTGGTTATGACTGTAATTAAATTGCCCTTGACAACGTTTTTTCATCAATAATTGAGATTATATTAGGTAGTTTCGTAGATTTGTAGTCAGGAATTGGTAAGAGAAAGACATTAGGTAGTTTTGTATTTACCAAATCTTTCCAATCCATTTTAAATATGATGATTAGGTGTAACAGACATGATTTTTTTTAAGTTTTTGGGTTGAAAAAGGCTTGAATTATTTTAATTCCATGCAATTATGGTACGGTGAGATTCCCAATAGTGAAATGAAAATAAAATAGAGATATCATATTTGTTTTGTGGAAAATATTTCCCTCATTTTCATATATTTGATTTATTTAGAAAATTTTGAATAATGAAAAATATTTTATTATCAAAGAAAAAATAAGTTTAGAATATTAAATCATGGATCCCACTGCTATTTAATTCTTGCATTTTAACTTCAATGGCACACCAAACCAATAGAAAATATATTTTACACCATGCCTTCTTTCTTAGCACTATGTATCTAAATTTGTATGAATCAGTTACATATTAGTTCTTATAGTTCAATAAAAATAAGAGTAAATATATTTATATGTATTTATATAATACCGAAATGAAATGATGAATGCAGGTTTCTTCAAGATTATAGTTTGATTGGCGCTTGGCAAGTGACATGGTGATCATATCCGTAAAACCAAAAAAAAAAAAAAAGCAACAGAATTTATTTCCGTGATTTAATTTAATTAGTGACGGTCTCTTTCAGATTTGGCCATTTGCAAGTGCACGACTTTACTGAAGCACAGAAGAGAATAGTTATAAAAAGAAAGAAAGCCGACAAACTAAGAGAGCGAGGCAGCGAGCCATACTTCCTCTGAAACTCGCCACCAAAATAGCCCTGTATTCTCATATTCTCCCTTTTCTCCCTATCTCTGTACTGGCATATGTAAATTGCTTGATCCAAAAGAAAGAAAGAGCAGTTAGTGTAAGAGAGAATATATTGAGGGAGCAATGGCGACTGATCGTGGTGCTGTTGTTGGATTCGTTGGATTGGATGAGTTGAGCTTAGACATGGCCGCTTCGCTTCTTCGTTCTGGCTACAAAGTTCAAGCTTATGAGGTAATCACAAGAAAATTCTATTCTTTAGTTTGTTAATTTTGTTTTTGAATTTGTGTTGTTTGGTTGCCGAGAAAAAAATGGAAGAACATTTTCATTTCGTTTTCCTGGAAAATATGGATAAGATAGATCGAGAAAAATCCGTATTGGAGAGACTTGTTTGAATATCACAAGTCTTTTTTTTATGGGTGAAAAAGGAGATTTTTTGTTTTTGGTTGATTTAATACTATTTTTTTATTTTTAAAATTGAATTATGTAACAAAAATTTAAAAGAAGAAAAAAGGAAACGAAATCGTTTTGAAATTAGTGTCCGAAGTACATTAGATATTTTTAACCAAAGAGGAAAGTAGAAAAGTAATATTTTTGTGTTTACCGTGCCTGCCCTCGTATTTACTGTTATTATTTTTTTAATAAACCAATTTCATTTTTAGGAAATATTTTAATCCATATCTAAATATATTTTTCTAAAAAAAATAAAATCAGATTAATCAGACCTACCTAATAATACAAATCTAACCTAACTCACTTTCAAATCTCAGGAGATCTTCCCACCTAATTAGACAATATAAAAAGGGTTAATGATTCATTCGGTCCGTGTACTACACGAAATTGATTAATTAGATTTTTTTATTAATTTAAATGTTAATTGAATTTCTATACTCAATCAATTTATTTGATGTGAATCTTCTATTAATGGTGCATGTGATGACCGCAAGTAAATTATATAATCAAACTGACACATATTGCTTGACTTTGTTGACCTGTTAATTATTTTGTCTTTCTATTTTCTTTTATTAAAGTAAGCATTTATTTTGTCTTTCTATTTTCTTTCAAGGAAACAAAGTTTGCCCCGCAGTCCAATGATAATTTGGTCCTTATGTTTTACATATTTCAATTGGGTCCATGGAAATAAAAAATTTCGTCCATTTTTGGCCCCTAAACTAAAATATATTCTTATAGTACCATGGAAAGTTTCGTTCCTCCCTAAAAGATCCGGTACATTTCTTCTGTCCTTTTTTTTTAAATTTTTTTAATTGATCCCTAAAGTATATTCTTTTTCTGTAGATAGAAGAATCTTTGGTTGATAAATTTTTGAATCTTGGGGGGACAAGAAGTGCCAACCTTATTGAGGCTGGGAAAGGTAAATAATGCTGGGACCAATGTCTATGTTTTACTGAAATGTTTTAATAGTTAAGCTAGTTTGGGTGCTACTTTTTTAAATGGCCATGTTTTGTATGTGGAGTGTGTAATATGATAGCCAAATTTTGTGCATGAAATGTGTGTAACATATGGCGTATATAGGCCATGCAAAATTTCTTTTTAATTGGGTTTCCAGAACTCAGAGGAATGTTTATAGCATGTTGTCTATATTCCATGTAACGTTTCTTTCTAAATGGGCTTCTAAAACTCAAAAGTTATTCAGGTTTGGAAATTTTAGGAATAATAACTGTGGAATTGGTGTAGGCATGAGCAAAAATCTACTTGAACGTGTGTTTGAATTGGGACCCACTGGACCTGGTCCATAGAACAGTTCTTTTCCTGTGAACAGACAATCGAGATGGAGATGTCATGTTGGTTTACCATCAGATGGTGGAATCAGTTGCCTTTACTCCATTTATAACTTAATTCACATCCAACTATCTGAGAATAAATACATTCCTGCGGTTGTGATGATTTTACCCGTGGTGCTCTGTGTAGTCCAATAAAGTTTGCCTTTGGATGCACAACAGAAAGAGCTCAAGAAACTTCTTGGAAGACTGGATTAAAGGGCCTTTAATGGACCTTTCTCCTTGGAAAATAGATGAAATTGGGTACTTATTTGTAGAGGATTAGGAAAAAATTGGAAAATATAAAAAAGTGTGTTGATTAGTAAATCTTCAGAACGAGGCTTGGCAGGTATTCAAGCATAAATAAGGATTAGCATATACTCATACCGAAGTCCATAAGTGCATGTCTTTTGCTGCTGTGTGTAGCTCAATAACGAAATCCATTCCTAGCTGTCATTTAGACTTTGCTTCTTTGCTATCGGATGTTTTTGTGGTACCAATGAGACGTGTGCTCTTCCCAGGTTACTTGTATTGCATGGGATCACACATATGATAACCTCTAAGGATACCCAGTATGGCCTGATATCATGGAAATTGAGTGATGCCTGCTCAGCTACTCTCTTACTGCTTCTTAGTTTGTATGGGAGCATCCTTTCAAGTATAAAAACCTGCCTATTGAATTCATGTTCTGAGCCTGACTTTCACATTTAATTTCACTTTTGAAGTGTCATGATAGTGTTTTAATTCAATTTCTTGTAGTTTTATATATCCTTTGTTTCCCAGAAATTATCTAGGAGTATTCTGATTTTCATAGATGCATGGAAACTTTATGTTCTCATTTCTAAAGGTATGAGCCTGGAAGTTTAAGAAATTGGTCAAGTCAAATTTCTGCATCTTCATCATTGCCACTGTTGTTGATCCACAAAATTTGAGCATTAACTAAGTGATGATTGATGTGCTGGGGTTCATTCTGATCCTTGATGTGTTGTGTCCTGTGAAATTGTGCCTTAACTCTGTTTTTGTTTCCCTGCTCTTGGCATGCAGAAGTTGCAGCTTTGATTGTTCTAATATCACACGTGGATCAAATCGATGATGTATTTTTCGGCCAACAGGGTGTTTTGAAAGGTCTTTGTGGAGCTCATCTGTTATACCTAAAGTTATCTTTTCTTTGTTGATATTCAGAATTCGTAACTCAATGGCATGCAGGGTTGCATAGAGGGGCACTCATTATCCTACGTTCAACTATTCTGCCATCATATATCCAGAATCTGGAGATACGTCTCAGAGGTCATGTATATCGTGAATTCATAATGTCATCCTTTCAACTTAGTGGCTCATTCTCCAGAAAGCGTTCTATTTAGTAATCTGGTGTAAATTTTAATTTTACTGCTTAGATTACTTCTTCATGGCAAGCCAATGAAGGATGCTGGTTTCTCTTAGTTACCATCCTTTCTGTATTCTTGTCCCTCTTTCCTCACTTTTTTATTTTTGCCTTCAAATTTGATATGCATGGCTATGTTTTCTCAATATTAGTGATCTGTAACTTAATTTAGTCACCTAGTTCATTTTCTGTTAGTGATGCATGCATAACATCTGATCTGCTGATAGGAAACCTCACTGATAATCATGAGCATGCTATCACGTCTTGGATTTCAAAGTTTAAGGGCACAAAGCATTCATAATAAGTAAAATTATTATTCCTAAATCAACTGGTCAAATCTCAAATAGTCAACCATCAACATCAAATATTAATTATGTCTCCCCTGAAACTTTTTTACTCTGTTACTGCACTCAAATGAGTAGTATAAATACAAAGATTGGTGGCTAGGACTTGGAAAAATCAGTTGGATAAGTTATGGTGTACAAGGTTATTTTGCATTCATATGTGAAGGGTTTGGATAAAAAAATAAAGGATGGACGTGGGACTTGTGCAAGTTCTTCTGCCCATCCAACCATTGTTGTAAAGCTACTGGTCGCAGTCACAAATTGGCTCATCAACTGAAAGTTTTACTGAAGAACTATTATCAGTTTGGCATCCTTCTTTCTTTTTAGCAATCAATTCATGATCTGATAGTTGCTTTCTTTTGTTAAAAACAACCCTCATGCATTGGCTGCTGAAATCAGTGTATTCTATTGATCTCACAGATGATGATTTGATGGTGCATCTAATAGTAGCATATGTCTCCAGGGGATTTTCTGAAGTTTTGGAGGGAAAAACCATGGTAACACTGTTTTTTAGACTAACAATAATGCATGGTCTATCTGCTTATTTGTTGTAGCAGTAGTCCAATTCCTCATTGTTATCAGATAATTTTTATAGTGGAGAATGCTGATTACTTTGCCTTATTTAGATTGCATCCTCAGGAAGGTCTGAAGCTATTGCAAAGGCGCACCCTATTCTTTCTGGTAAATTCATGTTATAATCTACGGTCATTCTATCAGAGCTTATAGGCTATAGAATTGGGCTTATAATTTGTCTATGTAGTCCCTTACTCAAATTATCATTATCTTTTGCAGCAATGTGTGAAAAGCTTCTCACTTTTGAAGGTGAAGTAGGTGCTGGAAGGTGTGATCTCTTCTTGGTTTTGCTAATCTTCCCATCATGTATTATAGAAACTGTGTAATTGTATTTTCTTGCTTTCATGTTTTAATTTGATTATCTAGAAATAATGCAAGTATTAGGAAAGGCAAAATGACATGGTAATTTAGATAAGTGACAAGGCCTTTGCGGATTTGATTTCAGAGTATAGAACTACTTACATGATGTTATGACTGCTCCTTACTTTTAATTTTTGAGAATTTGATATTTAGTTCTATTCTCCGTTGCTTTACAGTAAAATTAAAATGGTGAATGAGCTGCTTGAGGGCATTCATCTGGTTGCTTCAGTGGAGGCTATTTCTCTTGGCGCTCAAGCTGGAATTCATCCATGGATAGTCTACGATATCATTTCCAATGCTGCTGGAAACTCATGGTGAGTGTGCTTGTGACTAGATAACTCCCTTTTCTTTTTATCGATAAAAGAAGAAAGTTTTATTGGATAAAACTGCTTCAAGGACTTTGAAGATTCTAGCATTCTGCTGTAACCAAACACTCCAAATCGCATCAAGTAGAACATTTCTAAGATTTTGTAATCCTATTCCTTCCCATTCCAGTTCCCACCACATCTAGAAAAGAGTGAAAAGCTTATCTTTTGCAAAAGATAAAGAAGTTCAGGCAAGTAGCTCCATAATTTCTCTCTTAATCAACGTTCCTGCCCTACCAGGTGTGCACCCACACACACATCCAAAAGGAAGAGAAAAAAAGAAATAAAAAATCTGAACATGCAAGGATTTCGATGTGATTCGTTGATGTATAAAAATAAGTGAACCTATTGATATTTGTAGATATATAGAAACACTAATGCTTAAAATATTGACATGTATGCTACCCTTTTTGTCTATTTCTATTTCCCTAACCAGTGAAATACACTTGCACGGGTGTGGGAATTATGCACTTCCTGGCACATACATAACTTGACTAAGAAGAAAGTTAACCTATTTGGGGGCATGAATGCAGCTCTCATCTGATAGCTTCAAGTCATATTGCCTACTACCTCACATTCACAGTGATTAGATACTCTTATTTGCAAATTGTGTTATTCACAAAATGTATATGGTAAATTTGTAACTTCTAAGTCAAGTGATAACTGTCAAGATTAAGAATCCATTAGGTGGTGGTATTGGTTTTGCCTCCCATCACTCTCCATGGTTTTTCATAAATTATATTCTGGCCATGCTCTTTGATGTTTAGCTCTGTGTGCTTTGATACCTTTTATAATGATGTTTTTTTCATCTTTCCACACTGTTTTTTTTCCTTCTTTGTTGGGGATGGGGTGATTCTTTTGTCAGTGCAGGATTTTCAAGAATCATGTTCCCCAGTTTTTGAGAGGTGATACCAAGGTGCATTCCTACAGGACTGTGGTCCAAAATTTGGTAAGGGACACTTTTATTTTACATGCTTAAGTTTGATTGCATTTGGAATAATTTACATGCTTAAGTTTGATTGCATTTGGAATAATGTGTACATTTGTGTGTTGTCTTCCAACTATGTCCTGAATTGTTCAGGTTATTGAGTTGAGTTTGAATGCCGAACAACTATTAAATCGAAGGTTGAAAATTGGTTCCTTTGCTGATGGATCACTTGTTAGCAAAGTTACCTTGTACATCCTGATTTATTTATTAATTCTTTGTAAAACTGTTTATAGATGCAAAGAATCCAATACAACAAATTGAGGCAGGATGACAATAACATAACGAATAAAATGAGATAGTATATGACTTAGATGTATGCTCTCACACCTATGATAAGTTTTCTGAAGGGAGCTGTTTATTGATTTATGCAATCATGGAAAGCAAGTCAAGGCAGGATAAAAAATAAAAAATAAAAAATCAGGAGAAGCACCTGTTGGCTAAGCAGTATAGCAAAAAAGGGATCAAGGAGAATTTAAGTCTTTTTATTATCTAAAATATTGGAAGCGATATTTTGAGAAGATGAAATAAATAAAACCGTTTTCACAAATTAAGCAGCTGTGGAGCTAGAGATGATGCGGGATATCTCTCATGTTAAAAAACATGTTTGTTGAAAATGAATTTCACAGTGCTAGAGTTTATAGTGGGGACCAGAGAGATTTGATTGTTTGTGAAAATATCGTAGAGGTATAGGCTCCTATTATTTTTGGACTGCTACAAAACTTGAATTTCAATGGTATAATAGTGGAAGTTTTCCATGTGAATTTCAAAATGTATCAACAAATATTTCTGCAAGTAAACTATAGAGTTAGATAGTTGAGATTGAGTTCCATCCAAAAGACTTAAGCCTTATGGTGGTTGGCCCCTTCTCAACTTTATATACTATTTATTATTAGTTTAACTATTCAATATAGGATATGTTCTAACACTCCCCCTCACTTGCAGTCCATCTTTTGGAGTCTGTCAAGTGGCTTGGGCTCCGGGATCTTTGTTGGGCCATTGGGCCTCTTTGAGGCTTTGATACCATATAGAATTAGATAGTTGAGATTGGGTTCCATCCAAAAGACTTAAGCTTTATGGTGGGTGGCCCCTTCTTGACTTTATATATTATTTATTATTAGTTTAACTATTCAATATGGGATATGTTCTAACATAAACCTTTTTCTAATGTTGTTTTTTGAATCTTTTATAAAACCGTTTGAGCATGAAAAAGGATAGATAAGAGGATCCTGCTGAAGTTGTAATTCTAACAACTCAATTAGTTATTTTAAGCTAATTTTAAAGTTCCAGTTATTTATATACTTGATAATTTAGTTATCACCATTTTATCATTTTTCAATGGTCTGAATCAATTTAAGAGAAGTGCTAGTGACAGTCACATGTGTTGAGACTTCCTTATCTTGGTCAATTGTGTAATACATGCAAGGTAAGTTCCATATGTTGACGCACCACGTGAAAATGCAAACTTAACATTCCTCTTGACGAAATGAGTTGAGTACCTTAACCCTTTTATTTACATTTACCAGATGATACTTGAGACTGATGGAATTTTCAAATTTTAGGGTATTGTTTTGGATATGGCCAAATCGCTTATATTTCCTCTTCCACTTTTGACTGTTGCTCAACAACAACTTATTCTTGGTAAAATCACTATCTGATGTACTCGTTGCTTAACTGTTCTAATTCTAATCAATAAGTTTCCTTCTCAAAAATTTCCCCCTATCAGGATCTTCAAATGGTCTGGATGATGATAGTGACGCCACATTGGTCAAGGTTATTCCCCTGTACCTGTGTTATAAAATTTCCCTTGCCGGTCATTATGACTTGCTTTTAGGCTGCATTATCATGGAAAAAAGGAAAAATGGCTTGACAGATGCCTTGTTATCTGTATTGTGTAATCTTTGTCTAGGTCTGGGGAAAGTTGCTTGGAGCTAATATTCAAGATGCAGCCAGTGCAGAACTCTACAAACCTGAGCAACTGGCAAGACAAATTGTTGCCAAATCTGTTGTTGTTAAGAGAATTGGTTTCATTGGTCTTGGAGCAATGGGATTTGGCATGGCAACTCAACTGTTGAAATCGAATTTCTGCGTTGTTGGTTTTGATGTAAGTCCCACTTTTTTCCCATTGTATTCTTATTGAAAGAGCCAATTCCTGCTTTAAGCTTGAAAAGGATTAATTGCCTCAGTTTATGGCCTAAATATCTTTTGTGTACTATGCATTAGAATGAAACTTGGATCACTATGCATCGGATAGTCTGGTGAAATTTATTTAACATTTGGAAAATTGAAAGGAAATTATCCTGGAATTTTTATCTTAATTGTCTAGTAGTTTATACTGATTCCTGATTGAAGTGGAATTATACTTTATTATTTTTTGGCTTCCTGGTTATTTAATAATATGAAAACTAGTGATAACTTTTTTGAGTGATAAAATGTTATATTTTCAGGTTTTTAATGTATGCATATAACTTTTGTTTGTGTGTACTTGCCTACTTGTGATATTGTTTATGCTTGTGTATGTGTGTATTCTTGTGGTGCTTCTATAAAACATTTTTCTAGGGGCTTGGCTAGTTCATACATATTTTGTAGATTGAGGTTAACATGTTTGAATTACCATTTCAAATTTTATATGGTTGCATGTTTTCTTGGGTGGCAGGTGTATAAACCAACACTAACTCGATTTGCTAATGCTGGTGGCATGATTGGCAACTCTCCAGCCGAAGCATCTAAAGGTTAGTTGAGCCTCAAGTATAGGTTTGATTTGTCGTTTCAAATATTCTGTACAACATTTATAGTCCATTTATAGAGCTAAAATTATTAGTTTCTTTGACATTTCTTGTTCAGATGTTGATGTACTAGTAATTATGGTCACAAATGAAACTCAAGCAGAGGGTGTTTTGTATGGAGATCTAGGAGCAGTAGCAGGTACCTTCTAAAGAAAAATGCGCAAATTCTGGGGAAGATACTAACTTTAGTTTTGTTTTTTTTATAGCCTTACCATCAGGAGCATCTATCGTCCTTTCTTCTACAGTATCCCCTGCATTTGTGAGCCAACTGGAGCACCGCTTACAAAGTATGCCCTATATACAAGTATAAAAACATTCATACTTTCAGCTATGCAAACTTCTATGCGTAGCTCTGTTGTGTTTAATTCAAATATATGCATGCATGCATACACGCACACACACAAAAACTTACACACACACACACAAGCACGCACACATACACACGCATTTCTAGCATCATTCTTTGTCATCTTTAGTTTCATAAAATCGGAAATTCTCCTATATTAAATCTGTATAATTCTAGAATGCTTAAAAAGTCACTGTAAAAAGTTTATGTATCAGTAGGCAAATAAAGCCATCGACCAGTTATTGTTAGGAGGAGTTTGGAAGCAGTACTACCCTTCAACATTTATGCATGAAGCGGCTCCTCTCAATATATCAAACAACATTTCTTTTTCTTCTTGACATTGGCTATGTTATTCTTGCACTAGAAACCCGCGCCAAGTACTATTAAAGCCTGTAGAATATTATTGTTTGCACTCTTTAGCCCAAATCATAGTTTCAGAGAGCCTGACCTAAACAACAACTAAAATCATGAAAGGTTCTGCTGCTTACTTGCTTGACATTTACTGGTATGGCATGAACTAAAAAACTGTCCTTTCAACTTATTTACTCTTAACAAATCTGGTACTATAAATGCATCGGAAAAAATATTATAAAAAGGAAATGCATAGTTTAATTTTCATTCTTGCACCTCGAAGATCTTGGAGCTGAATAATGTCACATCTTTTCAATGATGTGAAAGCACAACATGACAGTTTGATATGGTATCCTTGACAAGTTAAAACTCCTCTAATTTAGCATTAAGCTAGATAGCAAATGATGATGGATAATTGATGTGTGGAAAGAAAGCACGAGAAAATGTAACAAAGAATAAGCTGTCTGAGTTTAAACATGGATGGAGATTACACGTCCATTCTTTTTTGCCATTTTATATTTTAATGATTGTTTTTGCTTTTAAATCTGTTTCACTTTCTTTGCCTCTTCTATCGTTTGAAGTTTTTTTTTTTCACGTGTACTCTGGTTTGGCTCTGGTTTTTAATGAGTCTGCTTGTGTCGATTCACAATAGAAGACTCTGGTTGTTTTTGGTTTAAATATTGGGTGATAATTTCTTTTACTGCATTCAATGAGATTGCAGTGCGACTGCTAATTGAAGGAACAGCTTATAGTTTAGTCTTGTTTGTATACTCTATTTTTTGTGTGATTATGATCCCTATGATGCCATGTTTCTATGCTTTCTTTTTCCCAATATTTTCTTACTCAAAATGCAAATGTCATAGATGAGGGCAAGGGCTTGAAATTGGTGGATGCTCCTGTTTCTGGTGGTGTCAAGCGGGCTTCCGAAGGAACACTTACGGTCGGACAAAAAATGCGTAATTAGTTCATTTTGAAAGCAGCTATATGTATTTTGATAACTGTTTCTCACAGAAATTTTATGTTGTTGTCAGATAATGGCTTCTGGTACTGATGAAGCTCTTACATGTACTGGCTCAGTTCTCTCAGGTAATAGCTTGTTCCGTATTCTTAATTTTGAATGGAGGAGTTTCGGAAATTTAGATTACAACTTACCCATGGTTGTTAAATATGAACAGCACTAAGTGAGAAGCTTTATGTGATTAGAGGAGGTTGTGGGGCTGGAAGGTATTTGAGCATTAATTTTTCTCTCACCATGCATTATATCATCATTTTTGCAGGTTCATTGACCAATTGAATTATGCATATTGTCTTAGATAATCATATTTTGCACTGTTATAGAATTTTCTAGGGAACTGAATTCTCACTCTCTGTTCTTTTTAATTATTGCTTTTAGTGGTGTAAAGATGATTAATCAGTTGCTCGCTGGAGTCCATATAGCATCAGGGGCTGAGGCAATTGCGTTTGGAGCTCGATTAGGTCTCAGTACAAGGATGCTGTTTGATTTCATCAAGAACAGTGGAGGCACATCCTGGTTTGTTTCGTGAAAACTGAACTGGTCTTGTATTTTCTCTCTCTCTCTCTCTCTCTCTTTACTGAGCTGATTTTGAGAATTTTTTTAATTGTCTCACCCTGTAAGAATCAATTTTATTTGAATTTAACATGTGTTATTTTTATCCATTTAAGCAATTATTTAAAAAATGATGGTTCCTGCATCCCTTTTCATTAGGTTCAATTACTTCAGTTTTTAATTTCATAACATAATCTTGGGAAAAACTTTGTTTCGATTTGCAGGATGTTTGAGAATCGTGTTCCTCACATGTTGGACAATGATTATACACCGTATTCTGCACTCGATATCTTTGTGAAGGATCTGGTCTGACTGATATTTATCCCACATTGTGTTTAATCGACGCAATTATTTTGATTCCTGGTTGTTAGTTTGTTAAAACTGCTCTATAATCATCTACAGGGCATTGTTTCTCGTGAATCGTCATCCCGTAAAGTTCCACTTCATATTGCAACTGTCGCACACCAACTGTTCCTGGCAGGTATTATGATCTTATTTCTAGATATTATGTTTTCCCTTGTCTTTCTTTTGATTCTTTGATCTATAAGACAGTACTTTTTAATTTAAAAAGTTTTAGCTGGCTATAGATAAGATTTATCTTATGTTAGTTTCAAGGCTAGCTGGATTTAAGAAGAAATTGAAATCCTTAGTTTTTCTATTCAGTATTACGAGATATTGCAATGCATGAGGTAAAATTGGGGCCTGACATCCTTTTCTTATCTTGGATCTATCCACGGGGACATCGGGGTTGACTAGATTGTCAAGAAAAAGACTGAAAATGCATGATCAGCATGATGGATGACCCTGAAGTATTACCAGTAATAGTATCTTGATTGGCATAGAAAAGAGCTAGAGACACAGAAGGTCCAAAAGTTAGGGATGGGAGTTTGAGGCTTGTCATTATTGTTGATTGCTCTAGAGCATGTAGAATGGAGCAAAGGGATTTTTGTCACTGACCTCATGTCATTGGAGAAGCTTATCCAAGTGTTTTTTTGTCAAAACTTGGACAATCTCGAAGGACGATGAAGCATTTGACCAGTGGTCCCCTATCCAACCTGTTTATAAGTGGGAGCTGAGCTTAAAGTCAAGCAACATTTGGCTTTAACTAGAATTGTAGATAGCTTTAGTCTCAAAAAGAGACAAAATGGTTACAAAAGACTTAAATTATTTTTTTCTGTCAAATTCCAAAGATAAGGAAACAAAAACAATTAGACTGAATGCCTGGACATGCAGGCTGTAGCAGGAAGTTTTCTGCAGGATATGCAATGGAAAACTGGCAACATATGCCTTTAATAATCGTCTATGTTTTGAAAATATGTCTCATGATAGTTTATATACACATTCTCCTTCACACTCACTTGAGTTAGTGTTGCTTGTAAGTACAATTTGAATTTCACTATTGAGCAGGCTCTGCTGCTGGCTGGGGTCGGCAAGATGATGCAGGTGTAGTGAAGGTATAGCAATTACTTTTGAAATGTAAAACATTTGAAGTTATTATATATGAATGAAGTGGGATGGTCACAGGTCTAACTTCAATTTTTGGTATCAGGTTTATGAGACCCTCACAGGTGTTAGAGTTGAAGGAAAACTTCCTGTACTTAAGAAAGAAATTGTCTTGCAGTCTCTTCCACCTGAGTGGCCCCTGGATCCCATTGATGACATTCATAGACTGAACCAGAGTAATTCAAAAACACTGGTTGTTCTAGATGATGATCCAACGGGAACTCAAACTGTTCATGATATTGAAGTATTAACAGAATGGTGATCTCTTGACTCTATAATGTATAATTGTTTTCCAAATCTGATGGTCTAGATACAAATATCAAAATTTTCATTTTTTTAATGTATAATTTTTGTCATTCTGAAGTCAAATTGTTTCATCCTTTTGTGTTAAATTCAGTTCTTTCTTCTGTCAATTCCATCGTGCAGATAGAAAGCCTTGATACTCTCTATCTGTAAAACAAACAGGTGCTTTAGCAAATCTTAAATAACCATGCCTGCTCTCTTTGCAGGAGTGTTGAGTCACTAGTTGAGCAATTTAGGAAACAGCCTAAATGCTTTTTTATTTTGACCAACTCTAGGTCATTGAGTTCTGAAAAGGTAAAGAGCTTTCTTCACATCTGATGTTATCTCTATTCATAAAGCTCGTATCTTATTAATAAAGAAAAGAACAGCAATTTCTAATTCATCTTCCAATATCAACTTTAAGGAAACCATTTTCTTGTTTGGACTTGTATTTCTGATTAAGCAATTACCAATTCATCTTCCAATATCTCCTTGAAGGAAACAATTTACTTGTTTGGGACTTGTATTTTTGATTATCCAATTACCTGTTTACAGGCGAGTGCACTGATTAAAGATATCTGTGGAAACCTAAGCACAGCTGCTAAATCAGTTGAGAATGTTGATTATACAGTAGTTTTGAGAGGTGATTCAACACTACGTGGTCATTTTCCGGAGGCAAGTATAAAGGCCTCGAGTGTCTTATTATCATTTTGTCAACACCTTTGTAGCTTACCTTGTAAAATCACATTATGATGTTAGGATATCTGATTTATTTAGGAAGCAGATGCAGCAGTTTCAGTACTCGGTGAGATGGACGCATGGATCATTTGCCCTTTTTTTCTTCAAGGAGGCCGTTATACAATCGAAGATATACACTATGTTGCAGATGCTGATCGGTATTGGACTCTTCCTCTTGTTAGATCATAGTGAATCTTTTTTGGCATTTTGCATAACAAAACCCTTTTGTATGTAGGCTTGTCCCTGCAGGAGACACAGAGTTCGCCAAAGATGCTTCTTTTGGATACAAATCTTCAAACCTCCGCGAGGTCTATCTTGTTCACCCTTGTCTTATATTTGGAAGGATGTTAGATATGGTAGTGACTTTGTGACTCCCTGAATTTTCAGTGGGTTGAGGAGAAAACTAGCGGCCATACTCCTGCTAGCAGTGTTTCATCTATATCTATCCATCTTTTGAGGAAAGGTGGGCCAGATGCCGTTTGTGATCTTCTTTGCAACTTGCAGAAGGTACATATATTTAACACTCTGTGCATGTCTAACTGTATTACTGGGATGAGAAATAATTTTGACATGCTGTTGTGATTAAAACAATTCTTCTCTCTATCCTTTGAAGTATTGTTTATTGATGTTTTTTATTTTTTATTTTTATGCTGAAATAGGGGTCAATTTGCATAGTTAATGCAGCAAGTGAAAGAGACATGGCTGTATTTTCAGCTGGAATGATTCAGGCAAAATTTCTTGCTATGATATATTTAAATATTCTTTATCATGCATAGCTAAAAACTCATGAAGCTTTTTCAATGCTTTTGCTTATTGAGCAGGCAGAATTAAGGGGAAAATCCTTTTTATGCCGCACCGCTGCTAGTTTTGTTTCTACCCGAATTGGAATTATTCCAAAAGCTCCAATACTGCCAAAGGATCTAGGAATAAACAAAGAAAGAATGGGCGGACTTATAGTTGTGGGATCGTATGTGCCCAAAACAACAAAACAGGTTGAAAATTGATGGACTTTGTTTTTCCTTTCATTTTATGCCTACGAGGATGATATTTTCTATAAGGTTAACATCCATGTTTTCATTAACTCACAGGTTGAAGAACTTAAATTACAATGTGGCCACTTTTTAAAGAAATTAGAGGTAATACAGATGCATGTGTTTTTGTATTTTCTCGATCTTGGTGTTATTTTTGGTTCTCTTCTTTAAGGAATATGATATATTATCTATTAGTAACTGGACATCCATAAGTTGTCATTCACTCATGCACATGCACTCAAATATAACTGCCAGTGCAAGGGACTAATAATTATTTTTCTGTTTGGTTATGAATAGGTTTCTGTTGATAAACTTGCCATGAAGTCATCAGAAGAGAGGGAGGAGGAAATCAATAGAGCGGCTGAGATGGGAAGTTTATTCCTTGGGGCTTGTAAAGACACTTTAATCATGACCAGTCGAGAACTCATCACTGGAAAAAGTTAGTTATCTTTGTTTTCTCTCTTGTTTTTTGTGCATATGCATCTCATACTGGTTCACAGAATTATTGAAACGGTAAATAATCCAGCTTGTGGCACCCTTTTCGTATTGACACTCAACTGAACAAAGCAATTTTTACTAGCAAAATCTAGTAAGATTGATGGCTGATTTTTCTTCACTTTTTTCTTTCGTATTTTTGGATGAGGGTTTTTACTATTGAAAAAAGAAACGAAGATAGTAAAAGATGATGTTGAAAGAAAAAGAAAATTCTCCAACTTCGTCACAAATTAGCCTTGCTAACAAATTAAGAAAGCCTTTTCTTATTATCTACTTTCTTAATTGCTAGCTGCTTCTGAGAGCTTGGAAATCAACTTTAAAGTGAGCTCTGCATTGGTGGAAATTGTTAGGCGGATATCAACAAGACCACGTTACATTCTTGCAAAGGTATTTCAATTTGTATAAACAAAAAAGTTCTATTTTAGTTTTGTTTTAAGTTCAACCAAACCCCTGCTTGCTTGTTGAATTTTATCTCCTATATTTCCCATTTTCATTGCAGGTAAATAGTTGTTTGTTTGGTGTTCTTGATCCAACCATGGGATACTGTGCATGGTTCAATATATTCCAGAATTTAATGAATATTTTTCAGTTAGCTACTTAAACTTTATGATGAATGGGTAAGAACTTCTTTACTGGTGTCATTTAGGGTCTCATAGCATCAAGTTTGCCTTTGTCTATCCTGGTAGGATGTTGTTTGATTGAAAGGTTCTAAGCCTTTCCTGGTCTAGTTTTAACCTTGTGGATTTTGGATCATTAAGTATAACCATAATCTTACAGAAATCTTATTTGTATTTCATTCCAAAACTTGAACTTTGATTTGAGAGTTCTGTTTGAGATTAATTTTATCTACATAAGGTGGATTATACCTTTCAGCTTACTTGCATTCCATAACAAAATGGTTTGTGCTTTGAACCCCTACCTGTGGCAAGTTCAGGAATGAAGAGAGTCATAGTTGTGTGACTATGGAGGCAAGCTTCATGCATCGCTTATCTACCTGATCTGGATTATGTCTTCCCCTTCACATTACAATGGCATGCACAAGTACTGCTCAAACTATTCAAAGCATGACGCTCTAGGAAACATTGGTTTTCGTTTGCCTTCTTCGTTGGGATAATATTAGTGGCAATTAGATTTAATTTTAGAAACATGATAATTCGGCATTACTTCTCCATCATTTTACTTGAGATTGCTATAAACATGTAAAATTTGTCTAATAATAAGTGATCTCTCTCTTTCTCTATCTTCCAAAATGTTCTCTAAAGTCCTGAAATTATGATAATAATTTCACTTTTCTCTTTCACTTGCTTACCCTTCAACATTGTTTTCATACTTCATACAGTGGCTGCTCTCAGAACTATTAACTAATGCAGTGTAACCATTTAAGTAAATTAACATTCAAAGTCACATTTCCACTGGACCATATGCCTTCTCCTTTAGCCGAGATATGATTCTGGATGCAAGTGGGATTTGACCCCAAGCCCCAGGTCCCAATGCTTAGAGACTCTTTACCAGCTTACCCACTAATTTCGCTGATGCTAATATGCCTTGTTCTAGGGAGGAATCACGTCATCTGACCTTGCTACAAAAGCTCTGGAAGCAAAACGTGCCAAAGTAGTTGGACAAGCCCTAGCTGGTATTCCATTGTGGCAGCTAGGTCCAGAAAGTAGGCATCCAGGAGTTCCGTACATTGTTTTCCCAGGTAAATATAAATTCTAATTTCATTTAGTTACTATCTTTCCATAAAATGAAAAATGAACTTGAACTTGTAATGATTTTTTCTTTTGCAGGTAATGTTGGTGACAGTAAAGCACTGGCAGATGTTGTGAAATCTTGGGCTCTTCCTTCTCGACTTTCTTCAACAAAAGAACTTCTTCTTGTAAGGATTACATATTTATTGTTTAAATACTGGATTTATTTGGATATTGACATTTTTAACTACTGATATTATCCTTACAAAGAATGCAGAGAGAGGTGGATATGCTGTTGGAGCATTTAACGTCTATAATATGGAAGGAGCTGAGGCTGTTGTAGCTGCAGCAGAGGAAGAAAATAGTCCTGCCATTCTACAGGTCAGAATGCCATTTTATAAGTTAGATGAGCAATTTAGGAGCCAAGACATTGAATTATGCTTGTTAGAGTGCTTGTCTTTGGTGAGATAGTTGTGTGCTTCGGGTTTTTCATAATTATGGCTCCTTATTGAATTCCTAAAGCTGTGTTCTTTCAACAGATCCATCCCAGTGCATTGAAACAAGGAGGAATTCCCTTGGTTGCTTGTTGTGTGTCTGCTGCTGAACAGGCCAATGTAAGTTCGTTTTCCTATCTCAAAATATATATTTTTAGGGAAAATTGAAAGGGTAAAAGAGGAAGACAAGCATTATGGTTTTGGAATTTGTGGTTTTTGCACAATGTTATTTTATGTTCTGACAATTGACCAGATGAACCAAAATATGTGCCAATTCAAACTATAATAAGCAAGTTAAAAGTTTCCTGGAAAGGTTACTAAAAATTTAATTCCCATTGGATGCGTTATTTGTCATCTAGGATCAATTTTACTTAAATAATTGTTTAGTACTCTAGATAAAGAAGATAAATGCCTATTAGATGAAAATACTTGTTTTGGTGCCTTTTTTATTCAGGATAATAAACCGTAATTTACATGCATGTTTTGCAGGTTCCAATCACTGTTCATTTTGATCATGGAACTTCAAAGCTAGAGCTAGTTGAAGCTCTTGATTCGGTTAGTGCTGCTTGTTATTCCCCAAAAGCATATATAGTTCAACAAACCATGTAATCTTTTAATATCGGCATCTTCTTGCATTTTTCTGTAGTGAGGATAAATTTATTACTGAATTTGCATTTTCTTGAATCCAATCATGCCAGGGATTTGATTCATTGATGGTAGATGGTTCACATCTTCCTCTCAAGGATAATATAGCATACACAAAGTACATATCACTTTTGGCCCACTCCAAAAACATGTTGGTGGAGGCTGAACTAGGAAGGTTGTCAGGGACAGAGGATGATTTGACTGTTGAAGATTATGAAGCAAGACTGACTGACGTTAATCAGGTCAGTAGACTTCCTGATTCATTAAAAAGAATGACCGACCTCATATTTTGATACAGCCAAAATCATAATTGTCTTCACCTATACTTACAGGCTGAAAAGTTCATCGATGAGACTGGTATAGATGCCTTGGCTGTGTGTATTGGGAATGTACATGGAAAGTACCCTGCAAGTGGTCCAAATCTCAGACTTGATTTGCTTAAGGTGAATGATAAACAATCAAATGTCAGCTATTTTCTGTTGTCATTAGATTTCACCTTCTCAGTGTGAGATAGTTAATGATTCCTTGCTTTCGTTGCTTAGTTCTGTTGATTGTGTAGTTAATGTTGACCTTTGCTAATTGATGTTTTACAAATATGAGAATGAATGTCTGCACAGCAGGAAAATTATGAAGTAAGATTGCTTGCATGGATTCTTGTGCTGCTAGCTAGTTTCTTAGATCTTTGATCTGATATCATCAGCTTAAGTTTTCAAAACGGAAGTAAAAAGCATGTTTAGTTGCTAAAAATGCAAAGCATATCACAATCATGTAAATATGCCTCTGCAGCATATGCCTGAGGTAATGCAGAAATCAACTTACTGAACTTGTACGTCTTAGTGAGACTAGAAACCCCCAAAGTGCATCACCATTTTCCTTTAAATCTTATAGGCTGTTTGCAGTGTGTGGTTTAAGAGGTGAAGATTTATCAACTTCACTTCTAAATTGTGTTTGCATGTGTTATAAATTTGCGAACTCAAGTAGTGCCTTATTTATTCCTAACTCTTCCGTCTTTAGGATTTGCATGTCTTGAGTTCAAAGAAAGGCGTGTTTCTGGTGCTGCATGGAGCATCTGGCTTGCCTGAGAAACTTATCAAGGTATTCCTCTCTCTCTCTGTCTCTGTGTAAAATTGTGATGCCTATATATGATGTGAAGGCATTTGCTTGGTTGGAGCTTTCTGTAATAAGGGCATTCTAGAAGTTTCAGCTTTTTGAATGTATCATATTCAACAAAGCCTAAATCAACTGAATCTGTGACTGATTTACATAATCAATCTCCTTGAATGCATCAAACAGGCTAGTATTGAGCGTGGCGTGACCAAGTTCAATGTAAACACTGAGGTGCGCCAGGCTTACATGAACTCGCTTAGCAACCCGAAGAAAGATCTGGTCCATGTTATGGCTTCAGCAAAAGAAGCCATGAAAGCTGTGGTAGCAGAGAAGATGCGCTTGTTTGGTTCATCTGGAAAAGCATGATTTTTTTTTTTTTCATTTGTTGCGACGTTGTAAGAAGAAGAAGAAAGTCATGAGCTCAACATGAGTGTCAGTCCCTCATTCATTGTTCCAAACAACTCCATAAATATTTTACTTTGTAATAATTTGTTGTCTCTCTATATGTTATTGCCCTCCTTTCTGTGCCAATCTAAGTTAAGCTCCGTGCGGCTAGCTTCTCTCTCTATCATTTTTTGTCACTCCGGTGGAATCATGAAGAGGAGATGGTAAGTAATCGATCTTGGTTCCATTTTGGGATCTTCAGAACAGGTGGGGAAAAAAAACCCATCGTTAAAGACACTAATCCATACATTTTGTTTTCTTGATCATGATATGTTTAGTTGGTTGTTAAAAATGGCAGGACTACTAGCTTCTGGGTTGATTTATGGATTGACAGTGACGAGCCTTTGATTGATAAGGTCTTTTGATTTAGATAAGGCTGATCTTCAGCTCAAGGTGATTGATTTGATGGATCTAGATGGTAACTAGAAAGCATAGTTATTCTTAATGAACTACTATAATATATAAAAACACACACAATATATATATATATGTGTGTGTGTGTGGGCATCTACCTGACTTTGGAATCGACTTTGAAAGCCCAAATCAACTTTGAGTTATGTATTTAAACCTAGATTGGAAAGGTCATGATATCCACTTTGAACTTCAACAAGACCTCTTTCATGTTCTTGGCTCAAAAAATATGAAATTATCATATCTTATTCTAAAGATCAATCTATCCAAGTTGGCATATTTTTACTCTTTTGACTCTAATCTTCTTTTAAATCACTGAATGTTCAGCACATATAATCTAAAAACACATTGAAAAACTAAAAAAGAGAGAATCAATATAATGCAATAACGCTCGCTATCGGTGTGTCAAAAATTAAGATTAATATGTTATTTATTAATTCAAAATAATTTGAATTTATGAAGATTGTTTTCTCTCAAAGTTATCTAAAGTTTTCCAATATTGGCACATAAGAATTAAGAATTCATGGCTCAATAAAATCATGTCAATAAGATTATTTTATTTTATTATGTTTTTTTTTAAGTATGAGTTGAAATTTATTTCGAAAAAATAAAATATTTTGTTTTAAAAGGATAACATTAAATAAAAAAGCACACTTGGGCCTAGGCATATGGGTTAAATACCTTAAAATCACCTCCACAGCTTATGTAAACTCATTTTCTACTTCAAATTCCAAAGATAAATACACTATTATAAGTATATTAATTTTTTTTCAATCGAATATATAAGTTTTAATTTTTTTCATTTGAGTATATAGATTTTTTCAAAACTATCAATCAACTATTTTTGTTAATTTTCTCATTAAGTGATGACATATCCATTACCTCTATAATATCAAAGTGAATTTTGCACCTTTTCTTTTCAATCGAATACACGAATTTTAATTTTTTTATTTTTGAGTACATCAATTAATGATGTGTTTGTTACCTTTAGAATATCAAATTACAAATTTACTTATTTTTTGTTGGAGAGAGTTGTTTTCTCAAATTATTTTATCATTTCAAAAAAATTGACAAAGAATTAAAAAATATATTTTTTAGCTATAAAACTCTGAACTAAACTCATTTAGGTTTAGAAGTAAAAATTAAAAAAAAAAAAACAAATATGAGATTTTTAATCAAGAAAATTCATTACTTGTGAGCATTTAGAGACAAAGTTCTCTCCAACCGAAAGAGAATAAATTTTTAATTTGATATTATAGAGGTAATGAACATAGCATTAGGTAACAAAAAAACTGATATAAGTACTTAATTAACAATTTTAAAAAAAAATTAAAGTACTTAAATGAATAAAATTAAAATTTATGTACTCAATTGAAAAAAAAAAAGAAAATTATAATTTGTTATTATAAAGGTAATCAACACATTATTACTTAATAAAGAAATTAAAAAAATATTTGATTAACGGTTTTTTTTTAAAAAATGATATATCCAAATAAAAAAATTCACATGTTTCATTGAAAAAAAGTAAAAAATTGATATATTTACGGTGCAACCATTCTTCAAATTCCTTATTAATCAACTCCAAAACCCCAAAGCAAATTAAAGTTCGGAAACAACATTTCTTGTCACTCAAGAACTTCATCTTTCGATGGTGAATGAGTTTGTTTTGATATTCAATCAACTCAATTCATCAAGGGCAACAATTTGACTCTTTTTCCAACTGTTATCATGGCAGAAAACGAGGAGGTCGACACAGTTCTCTCTCCTCCTTCTGTCTTACCATTTTCCTCCTCTCTCTCTCTATCAATTATTGCAGGGACCAAAATAGATGGATCTTGTGACATAACAACCAAAAAGAATCACCTCATCAGACGGCACCTATAAGACAAACATCAGCTTTCCAAGACATTCCTTGTTATTGCCGAGTATGCCATAGGTTCCATAGTTAGATATCTACTAGCACTCTTACTAGCCTGATATATCAATGGCTGATAGTTTCTGTTTGAAGTGCAACTTCTATACGATGTATGGGAGTTAATCAGTTCGATGAACTCGAGTCATGCCTATAGCTCTTTGATGTTGCCAAGGTATCCAAAAATTTAGCTCCATCCTAAGCGTGGTAGGGTTTTAAACATGTGTGAGTACGAAAGACATAATGTTATCTACTGTGAATTTGGCATGGCGCTGGGGTTCTTGAATTGAACTCTCGAAGAAATAACACCATTCAGACCGAAGTTACACCTCCCTCACTATATGTTCTACTTTTGAACTCTCTCTCAAAGCCACTAAAGCTTGAAAAGCTTGAGGCCTTGACAGAAGTGTATACATCTTCCGGCAAAAACTGCAAGATTCCTTATGAAATCAAGCTAGTTTCATTGGCTGAAAGAAATAAAATAAAAAATAGTTGGAGCAAACAGCAAACAATTTGTCCGGCTTCTTTCCCAACAATGCTTGCCTAAAATTGAAAATGTCGATTTCAACCGTGTATGTAAAAAATTTTGAAGTCTCGTTAATTACTAAAAAACAAAAGGCCGACTTTCCCGTTCACATCCTTTCTTTAACCAATTAATTATTCAATTTTCTCTGCTTCATCTGAACAAGACATTAATCTAAATATAAATATGAGTAAATTATTCAACCAATTATGATGTAAAAATGAGCAGCTAAGCTAAGATAAAGATAAGCTCCCTTTCAGATAAACTTATCAAAAGTTTGCAAATGGAGTCTAACGGTGTTGTTAATGGTGGTAGTGGTGGTGGTAGTGTTGGGTTCATAGGCTTGGATGAGTTGAGCTTGGACATGGTTGCTTCACTTCTTTGCTCAGGCTACAAAGTCCAAGCTTTTGAGGTAATATGTTGCTTTATTTTGGTCTATTAGTATTTGTTTAGCAATTTAGATTTGAAAACTGGGTTTTGGTTGCTGGAAAGGTGGCCATTTCTGCAAAAAAAAAAAAAAAAAAAAAGCTTTAAGTTGAATGGATGTTCATCCGGTAATCATTTGTGGCAAGACAACTACTATTCTTAATTTTTTTTGCAAGAAAATGCATAGCCAAGCTTTAATAATATGAACCTATAATTCTACACATTGGCATGATCAGTTTCATGTTTACCAATTTTTCTGTTCCGTAGATTGAAGAACCTCTGATGGATGAGTTTTTGAAACTCGGGGGAATCAGGTGTGCCAGTCCCATTGAGGCCGGGAAAGGTTTTTTTTTTTCCCTCCCTCTTACAGAGTTATATCTTTATTTATCATTATGTCTTTAATAGCTAAGCTAAATGCCATTTCTTTCGGAGGGCATTTTCTTGAACATAAATGTGCAATAGCATTTTGAGAATGTAATCCAAGGCATCTAGTCGATTCTTGAACCATCAAATGGAAATATGATGACCTATCTGCGGAGAGTATTGGGCTACTGAAATCTAAAAGTCATTTTAGTTTGTAAATGCAGGCAGTGGTGGCTATAGAATTTGATAAGCATGAGCAAGATTTACTTGAACATATAGTACTCGAATTTAAAGAGCAAGATTTACTTGAACATGTAGTACTTGAAGTTAAAGAGTTTCTGAATGGATTTGATGTTAGAAAATGAATCAAGAAAGAAGATAAAACAGAAAAAACAATAAAAAAAATCACATGACACGTGATTTTGTAAGAAGTTTCGGTATATGCGTATGAAAGAAGAAGAAGATAGACAAAAAAATTAAAGGGAACCCACTCTTTTCATTACTGCAGAGACATGTTTATAATGATACAAAAAGTAAGTCAATACCAAATTTTCATAATTTAAGGAAATTTGTTCCCTTGTCTAAAGCTAAAATTAAGTTCCACCACAAGTCATTCAAACTTCAAGTACATTCATTAATTGTATTACAAAATATTCAAAAACAAAAGGAACAAAATCCGGTGCATGGCTTTGTATCGATACGTGATCATGAACTACAAGCTTCATCACTCCTCCTTGATGCAAGAGCTATGCATAACACCAAGCTTGCCTCTAAGTTCTTCAAATCTGTTCTTCCGTGGACCCTTGGTGAAAATATCGCAGCTTGTTCCTCTCGCTGAACAATGCAACAAGACAACTTCACCTTCCTTCTCTCGCTTCTCTAATAGCATGATATTTGATGTTAATGTGCTTAGTTTTTCCATGAAAAACAGGATTTTTAACCATTGCAACAACGAGACTTATTATCACACAAAATCATTGTAGCAGACTTCTTGCTTAAACTTCAAATCACTCATCATTTTTCTCAACCATAATGCTTGATTAATAGCAGCAGATGCAACCATATACTCGCCTCGACAGTAGATCGAGCAACGTAACCTTGCTTCCTTGAACTCCAACATATAACACCCGATCCAAGTGTAAAACAATAGCCCGAGGTGCTTTTTAAATCTTCAAGTGATCCAGCCCAATCACTATCGGTGAATCCAAGTAATTTCAAGGCTGAACTCCTCCTATACAACACACCATATGAAATTGTACCCCGAATATACCTCGAGACCCTTTTGGTCGCTTTCGAGATGATTTTCGATTGGCATGTGCATATATCTTGATAGAATGCTAGTTGCATACATTATATCCGATCATGTGATTGACAAATACAGCAATGAGCCAACAAGACTCCCGAAGATTGAAGGATCAACGGATGCTCGAACCATCATTTGTTTGTAACTTCAATCCTTGAACTCGTTGGAGTGTTGATGACTTTACAACCAATTAGAGAAAACTTTTTCAATAATTATGTGGCATATTTCCTTTGAGAAATAAAAGTGCCTATTGAAACTTGAGACACTTCCATTCCTAGAAAATAACACATCCGCCCCAAATCATTCATCTCAAACATGCCCTCCATTTGCTTTCTAAACTCTTTCACGTAGTTTGGATTGCTTCCAAAGACAAGGATATCATCAACATAAATTGAAACAATTAGAATTTCAGAATACACTTGTTTTACATATAGTGTAGCTTCATTGATGCTCCTTTCAAATCCCAAGTTAAGCAAGTAGCCATCAATCTTTGCATACTAAGCTCTAGGGGCTTGTTTTAAACCATATAGTGCCTTTTTCAACAAATAAACTTTATCGACAGCATTTTTAATAACAAAACCCTCGGGTTGCTCAATGTAAATTTTCACCTCAAGAACACCATTGAGAAATGCTGATTTAACATCAAGTTGATAGACTCTCCAAACCTTCATGAGCAACGAAGGGCAAGCAATAATCCGATTGTATCTAATCTAGCTACGGGAGCAAAGGTTTCGATGAAGTCAATACCTTATTGTTGAGAGTAGCCTTTCACAACTAATCTAGCCTTGTATTTGCTAATTGAGCCATCCAGATTCACCTTCACTTTGAACACCCACTTTGTACCAATTACTTGTTGATTTTCCGGTCCGTCAACAAGTAACCGAGTGTCATTTTTAACAATCATATTGAATTCTTCCTCCATGGTCGCTTTCCATTTTAGAGATTGTAAAGCTTGATCAACTCGATGCGAGTTCAAAAATAGCTACATTGCATCCGTTATAGATATCTTGCAGAGTTCGGTGCCTCTCACTATATGATGCTCATCATCGAATCCTCCTCCTCGAAGTCTCATTATGAAGCTCGGGTGCATTTTCAGCATTAATGCTTTGATTTAAGGACTCTCCAATCATTTTCTCCCAATTCCAGTACACCATTTTCATCGAATTTTATACTCCCGCTCACATAAACCTTCTCGGTTATGGGATTTAAAATTCGATATCCTTTTGAAATGCAGTCTTATAACCAAAGCCCTTTGATCAAGCTTGTCTCTCTTTGCATCGAGAACATAAGCATAACAAGCGCTTCCAAAAACCTTCAAATGAGCCACTCGATGGTTTGACACCTATCCAAGCTTCATAAGGTGTTTTACCATCAATAGCTTTAGTTGGAAGTCTATTTTGAAGATAGACAAGCAGTGTTTACAGCCTCCGCCCATAACTTCTTTAGTAAACCTTTTTCAAACAACAAGCACCTTACCATGTTCATGATTGATCTGTTCTTCCTTTCACTTACACCATTTTGCTGAGGTGTATAAGTGATCGTGAGTTGATGATGAATACCGCCTTTTGAAGAAATGATTAAAATTGAGAAGAGACATATTCGGTGCCATTGTCGGACCTCAAGGTCTTGATGACATGAGCACTTTGTTTTTCTACGAGCGACCTTGAATCTTTGAAACATAGGAAACACTTCGATTTGTTTTTGAGAAAATAGACCCAAGCAATATCTTGAAAAGTCATCAATAAATAAAAGAAAATATTTGTCGCCATTGTAAAAAGATATGCTCATGGGTCCACATACATCCGTATGAACCAGCTGGAGCTTTTCAGCTTGCCCTCCAAGCTTGGTTTACAGGAAATGGAGTTTTGCTCAACTTACCAAGTTGACGAGTTACCACATACATTTGAAATCCCAATCACAGCAGATAAATCATCCACCATTTTACTCCTTTCAAGCAACTTCAAAGCATCATAATTTATGTGACCCAACCTCTCGTGCCACAAACAAGAGTTAAATTCAATACTAACAAAAACTTCGACTTCATCATGTTTCCACTCAATATTAAAGCTTATGTTGTGCATTTTAATAGATAGAAGCTTTATACCGTAAGGATCAATAATTTCACAGAATTTGTTCTTGAATTTAACCGAGTAATTCTTATCTAGAAGTTGACCAACACTTAATAAATTATGTTGAATATTAGGCACAAACGGAACATCGGAGATAAGCTTTGTACCCGATAAAGTTTGCACGTACACAACACCTTTGCCTTTGACATCCACTAGTCTCCCATCACCAAGCCTTACTTTGGAAGAATATGCTCTGTCCAAAGTTTTAAAAATTTCCAAATTTGCCGACATATGATGAGTACGACCACCGTCGATCATCCAAGCATTAATGTTTTGAGTTGCAACTAAACATTCGAGTAGCAAGAACAAAAAGTTTCTCCTCCCGACCTTCGAGTCCTTCGATGACTCAGTGCAGTCGAGCTTGATTTTGTTGACCACCATTTCCTGGACAAACTCTTTCAACATGTCCAAACAGACTTACATGCTTTGCATTGAACCTCGTGTCCGTACCGGTAATAATTTTCGAGTGTGGTTTGTCTTCTTGCAATGAAGACAAGGTGGATACTTGCCTCTCCCGTTCCTTCTCATGTTGCTTTGATTAAATTTTTTGTCTTTACCTCTCTTTGAATGAGGGCCTCTCTTTGCATCATTAGTCCGCATTTTTGCTCTTTGGGATGCAAAAAGTTCATTTTCAGTTGAGCCTTCTTCTTCTCTAAATGCTTTTCTTTGTTCAACGACTTGTAGAGCACTTACAAGCTCTGTGAGAGAAAGCCGAGATAAATCCCGTGCATCTTCAAGTGAAGAGATTTTTGCCTCAAATCTTTCCGGAAGAGTTACCATTACCTTCTCTACAACTCTTCTTTCCGGTAAGTCCTCACCTAACAACCTTACTTGATTAACAATTTTCATACCTCTATGTACTCCTTCACATTCTCGGCCTCTTTCATCCCGAGAAATTCAAATTCCTTTCTTAAATTAAAGATATGCATCCGTTTTGTCTTTTCACTTTCTTGAAATTCGACTTCGACTTGTCCGAGACTTCTTTCGTTGTCTTGCATGCCATAATCCTTGTGAAAATAGTCTCATTTATTGCTGAATGAAGACTACTCAAGGCTCTAAATTTTCTAGAGACCTTTTCTTCATACATTCTAAGTCGATTCAAAGTTGGATTGTCCGGCAATTCGGTTTCAAAGTCCGATTCAACAGACTTCCCACGATAGCAGGACCCTCGAGATATGCTTCCATCTTCACAAACCACATATGATAATTTTCTCCAGTGAAGATTGGAGGAGAAAGAGCAAAAATACTATCGCTTGTAGCCATCATAAAAATCACTCAAATCTGTCAAGTGTTTATGGTTTTTTAAGTGAGGTTTTCTTACTTGTTTTCTCTTACACAAAGTCCCACAAAGATCAATTGTAGCTCGATACCGGATGTAGGAAGTTTTTGGTATATGCATATGAAAGAAGAAGAAGATAGACAAAAAAATTAAAGGGAACTCACTCTTTTCATTACTCGCAGAGACATGTTTATAATGATACAAAAAGTAAGTCAATACCAAATTTTCATAATTTAAGAAAATTTGTTCCCTTGTCTAAAGCTGAAATTAAGTTCCACCACAAGTCATTCAAACTTCAGTACATTCATTAATTGTATTACAAAATATTCAAAAACAAAAGGAACAAAATCTGGTGCAAGATCCGGTGCATGGCTTTGTATCATTACGTGATCATGAACTACAAGCTTCATCAGATTTACATGGTCTGCGGTGCTAATGCTCCGTAACGTACCAAACTACGAGCCACATCCACATCAGTCTCCACAATTTAACAATTTATATACATTACATAGTCCGAATAATTCTTTTAATCAAAAGGAAATTTAGAATGATGCTTGCTTATGTTTTACGTGGTGAATGTCTTCGTAGTATTGCACTAGTAACAGAAAAGTACTCTCATCGGTTGGACTTTCTGACGAAATGCTAGCTTTGTGCAACTTTGTAACTTAAGTTTTTGCCGGTGCTTTCTGCCCTCGTTTCATAGAGTTGGCCTCTGGACATTCAACAAAATAATTTAAGAAATGACCTTGAGGTTTACCCTTTCTTGTTTTCCACAACTGAAGTCATGTTTCCAAACTTAAACTTCCACATATTTATTTTAGGAGTGGCAGTAAGTGATTTAATTTAACTGCGGAGGTTTTAGTTTTCAAACACGATCCTTGGCTAAGATTTATTCTAACTCTTGATGTCTAATGTTTTATGGAATTTGTACCTTAACTAAATTGATTCTTTAATTTTCTTCCCCTTTGGCTGGCAGATGTTGCAGCTTTGGTTGTTTTATTATCTCACGAGGATCAAATCAATGATGTGATGTTGGGTCAACAGGGTGTTCTTGCAGGTCTTCTTGGAACTTCACCATGATATCTAAACTTATAGTTCTTCGCCAAGTTGATGTATAGAATATATGGCTTCGTGGTGTGCAGGGTTACAACAAGGGTCAGTCATCATCCTGCGTTCAACTATCCTGCTGTCACGTATCCGGAATCTGGAGAAACGTCTCACTGGTAAACTAGAATCGAAGCTTACTGTCCTTTGATTTAATGGCACATTCTCCTAACATTATACAAAATGCAACTTTTCATTTCTAACATTATGTCTCATGGTATCCTAATTAATGATTATGGACAATGGACATCATATGCTTTCCCTGATTTCAGAGTTTTAAGGTTAAGGCCCATAGGACAATTTGACTGAAAGTTTTCGGCAATAAATCCATGATCCTGACCGTTGTTTTTTTGGACAAAATGCAACTTTAGCGGTGAAAACTATGCTAAATTTGGCTTTTCTATTGATTTCGCAGAGGGCAGGGTGAGAGCATATTTAATAGATGCATATGTCTCCAGGGGAATGTCTGAAGTTTTAAATGGAAGAATCATGGTATTGTGGTCTCTTACATCAAAAAACGTTATTCTCCTCTCCGTCTTGCTTATCAGTGGATGTGGCAGCCCAGTTTTCCTGTTTTTCTTAGATAATTCTGTATGATGGATATGCTGATTATTTTTCCTTATTTAGATTGCTTGCTCAGGAAGTTCTAAGGCCATTGCAAAGGCACAACCAGCTCTTTCTGATGAAATTCATTTTATGAACTGCAGTTGTTTTATTGGGGCATCGCATCAGCTTCCTTTTTGTCTTTATATTCTCTCACTCAAAATATTCTGTCTTTGTCACAGCTATGTGTTCAAAGCTTTTTATTTTTGAAGGGGAAGTTGGTGGTGGAAGGTGTGGTTTCTTCTTCTTGATCTTCCCAGCTTCTCAAGTATAAGACTGACTAATATGGTGCTTTTTCTTGGACAATATTTTTCATTTGATCACTGTGGAAGTGATGCAATTGCATGACGTGCTCATTTAATAAGTGAAAAAGTGCTGCTTTGTGGATTTAAGTATCGAAATACCACTCAATTGCTACGTTATGGTTGCTCTTTGGGTTTAATTTTCTAGAAATTGATATTATGTTTCAACATGCATTTTTTTCCGTTCACAGTAAAACTAAAATGGTGAATGAGCTGCTTGAGGGCATTCACCTTGTTGCTTCAGTGGAGGCTACTTCTCTTGCTGTTCAAGTTGGAATTCATCCATGGATATTCTATGACATTGTTGCCAATTCTTCAGGAAATTCTTGGTTAGTGCGTTCGTGCTACTTGGAAATTTTCTTTTAGTATATTTATAACTAGTGAGTGTACTCCATCCCCTCCCCTTCCATCTTTCTTCAACATAATTAATGTGTTACCTATTAGCATTTTCATATTATAATCGCATGGCTTATTACTTATTATATGAGTGCTGTGCTACTTCTGTAGCAGGATCCATCTCTTTCTTCCTTTTTTTGATGGACTGGTGGTTTTGGGGTGATTGTTCTGTAATTGCAGGGTCTTCAAGACTTACGTACCCCAGTTTCTGAGAGGTAATACCGAGACTAATTCCCATGGTACTTTGGTCCAAAATCTGGTAAGTTACACTAACCTGATGCAAATTTTTTGCTTGATTGAATGCGAATCTTATATTTATCCTTTTCTGGTATTTGAATATTATGTTCTTAATTGTTCCATTCAAATGATTTGCTCTTTCTTACAGCAAATAGGATCACTTTAGTTGCATCAGCTTTTTGTTAACTTGGGACTAAATACACTTTTCGTACTTCAGGGTATGGTTTTGGATATGGCCAAAACACTTACATTTCCTCTTCCACTTTTGGCTGTAGCTCATGAACAGCTTATTTTTGGTAAAACCGCCTGGTGATGTGCTGATGGTTTAATTATATAATCCACCAGTTTCCTGCTTGATGAATATTTCCTTTTTCAGGCACTTCATATGGTCAGGGAGATGATAATGATGTCAAATTGCTCCAGGTTATCTCCCTGTATTTTGTTGTGAAATTTTCCTCTATAGGCCTTTGCTACTTGCTTTTTTAAGCTGAAAAATTGCTTGACGGGTGCTTTGTTATATGCGTTGTAAAATTGATTTCCAGGTTTGCCAAAAGTTCCTTAGGGTAAATATTCAAGACGCAGCCAGTGCGGAATCCTACTGCCCTGAGCAATTGGCCGGCCAATTTAAAGCGAAATCTTCTTCTGTGAAGCGAGTTGGTTTCATTGGCCTTGGGGCAATGGGATTTTTCATGGCAACTCACCTGCTAAACTCAAATTTCAGTGTCGTTGGTTATGATGTAAGTCGTCACTTCTTTTGTCTATTGTGATCAAAAGAAACTATTCCTTCTCGAAGCAGGAAAAACGGATAAATGTAGCTGTCACTGTTCTGACCCGCATCTCGGTCTGAATCTCTTCATTTGTCACCTCCGTTACAGTTCATATAAATGTAGGAATAGGAAAGCTGAATGATAAAGGATCATGTGTTCTGGTGAATCTTATCTATCCATCAAAGAATTAAGTCAAATGACCCTGGAACATTTTACTTAATAGTCCATTAGTTTATGCTGATGCCCTATATTTCAAGGGGGTTTATTAATTGTTAAAAATTCTAGCGCTTAAACCTAATAAAGTAATTCTCATTGTGTGGAAGGTCTGCGAGCCAATACTGACACGATTTGCAGATGCCGGAGGATTGATTGCCAACTCCTCAGCAGAAGCATCCAAAGGTAATTTGATGTACATTGGTGTTAGGAAACAAATCAAGTAAGAAAATAAAGTAGAAAGACAAGAACAATCACACAAAAATACAGAGATTTACGTGATTCGGCAATTGTGCCTACTCCATAGCTACATTAGAATTTCTTATTAGGGTTTTATGAAGTGGCAGCTTGAAAATACAAAAGATGTTGTCTCTAAGAGGTTATAACAAAAAAGACCTATACTGCAGATGTCCATCTACATCAATCTCCACAACTTAACATCTTGGATATGAGTTGAAAAATAAAATGATTAATAAAAAATCAATAGAGCAATATAATTTATCTTTGCAATCATCTCCTTCATTGCTCAGTGACATGTTACCGTGCTTTTAGAAGTCTTAAGCGATCAGGGTAAGCCTGAGGAGCGAGCAAGCTAATGCCCACAGCCCTACACCTGGTTTGCGATTTTAGCATTGTAACGGAGTGTTGGATTGTTCATTTTTGGTTTCTTTCAAGGAAATTTCTGGTATTAATTGTTCCAAGCATTGATTAGGATGTTACTAAACTTGATCGTTGATTTGCTTCATGAATGAGAAAAAAGCTGCTTTAGGATTGCGGAAATTTTATCAAACCTCCATTAAATGATATACCATTACAACTTGTTCTAATAGAGTGGTATCATACATGCAAACTTACTGCTAGATTTCTGCTATATCTCTGTCCTTTTTCTTTCTCTGTTGATGCCATATTGTCATGGTTACTAAAATCTTCATAATTCTACTTCTCAAGTGCTCTTAAACTCCACCGAAAAGTTTTTACCATTGTCTTGAATTCTTGGAATATGTAGGTTCATTGGTTTTTCATGTATAATGCAGAAGTACAAGGCATATGATATAAATCCCAATTGTATTATAGACATTGTTAAACTCCAAACTCAATGCAGCGCAATGCTGTCATTTATTCTTTGATTTTGATGGCTTATGCTCATATTACAGAATTATAATAATCCTCAAATAATTTTCTGAGCTTTACTATGTCAGTGACAAGGTGCTTACTGTGTCATGTGAATTTCAGATGTTGATGTACTTGTAATCATGGTCGTAAATGAAGATCAAGTTGAGGATGTTTTGTATAGAGATCTAGGCGCAGTTCAAGGTACTGTATGAGTTATGACATCTACATTTGATGACATTGCTGACTTTAATTTTGTGTGCTATAGCCCTTCCGTCAGGAGCATCTATAGTCCTCTCTTCTACCCTGCCTCCTGGATTTGTGAGTCAACTAGACCGACGCTTACAAAGTATGTGCTACATATATCTGAGCTTGTTCGTATCTTTTTCCTTTTTAATATGAAAAAAAAGTACAAAGTTGCTTGGTCTTCGAAAACAGCAATAATAATCAAGAACTTATTCTGCTTGATAATATTTGATTTCGTGGTCATTATCTATCTGCTGCTTCGACCCGATGTGCCAGAAGGCAGAACTGCTGATTGAAGTTGCACCTTTATATTTAAGCTTTGTTAGGAAGCTTTATTCTTCATGTTTATGATATCTTCCATAATCAATCTGCAAATGTGACAGATAAAGGCCAAGGTTTGAAATTAGTGGATACTCCTGTTTCTGGCGGTGTTAAGAAGGCTGCAAATGGAACACTCACGGTCTGAAAACGACACGATCAATTTTATAAAGCTATTGTAGTTTTTGTCAACTTTATTCTCATAAAAGTTTTATATTCTTGTCAGATCATGGCTTCAGGTACTGATGAAGCTCTTCAATGCACTGCTTCAGTTCTCTCAGGTATCAAGCATGTTGCTGATTTCTATTTATGGATGAAGGATTTTCTGAAATTTACATTGCAACTTATCCTTGGATTTTCTTACAAACAGCGTTAAGTGAGAAGCTCTATGTCATCAAAGGAGGTTGTGGGGCTGGAAGGTACTTGTTGTTATTGTTTCTCTCATCATACATTGCATCATTACTTTGTAGGATGATTTTCAAATTGACAGATACATTCTTGTGCGAACATGCAAGTTACCCAATGTGTGGTCATGTTTATGAAGAATGGAGATTTTTCCTGCTAATAGAATGCTTGTATTCTTCCTTTGAAATTTCTGTTTCTAGTGGTGCAAAGATGGTTAATCAGTTACTTGCTGGAGTTCATTTGACATCAGCAGCTGAGGCAATGGCATTCGGAGCTCGATTAGGTCTCAATACAAGGATGCTGTTCGATTTCATCATGAACAATAGAGGAGCATCCTGGTTTGTGTGATGCATCCTGCAATTAAGTCTTTCCCCATTTACCGTTTACGCGGTTTCTTTTCCTTTCACTGACTGATGTTGAAATTTTTTGTTATAGTCTGAGCTTCAAACCGTTTACCCTTTACGCGGTTTCTTTTCCTTTCACTGACTGATGTTGAAAATTTTTGTTATATTCTGAGCTTCAAAATCTCTCCGAACTTGCCAATTCATGCTATTGAAAAGCTAAAAATTTAACTACGTTCCAGCTCACAATTTTCTATTAGAAACTCCTCTGCGATTTTGCCATTCCTTTCAAAACTTGTTTGTTCAATCACAAGAACTCGAACCATGGCTTTTTCTTCTTGATACATTTTAGCACATCAATCATCCAGATTTTTTGTTGGAAAGTGAAGGCTCTTGCTTCCCTATTTAATAATGACTTAAATTATTCATGTTATTTATGTTTATAAGTTAATCGTGGCAAATGATGGTTCTGTTCAGGATGTTTGATGATCGTGTTCCACACATGTTAGAGGATGATTATACGACATGTTCTGCACTTGATACATAGGTGAAAGATCTGGTGACTGAGACCAATCCCTCATTATGTGTTTACCAAAACAAACATTTTAATAATTCACTTTTAGTTTGTTAAGGATCTGTTCTAATCATCTACAGGGAGTTGTATGTCGCGAATCCTCATCCCGGAAAGTTCCTGTTCATATTACAGCTGTTGCACACCAACTTTTCCTGGCAGGTGTAGTAATCTTCTTATTCGGGTATTCCTACCTGCCATGTTTTCCTTTCTTTCTTTCTTTGTTTTTTTTTTTTTTTTTGGATGAAGCAGAACATTTAGAATGCCTTTCCTTTTTAGTATAACTAGAAGTAGCAATTGTAATATATTGAAAATTTGGGCTTCAGTAACCACTTGCAATATCTCGGATAAATTAATGAAGGAAGCATGAGATTGATGAGAATGTTGGTAAAGGATTTACATTTTAATGACCAACATAATGAATTGGTCCTGGAAACTAGGGAATTCATGGATTTTTCATGTAGTCTTAAAGATGGGATCTTTCAATTTTGTGTCAAGCCATCAATGCTGGTTGCCATATATTTATGGGCCTAATTGAGATATATTTTTCAAGAGTAAGTCTGATTCTGAATTTTCCAAAGAAGAATTAAAAGATTCCAAAAGATCATTTACTTTCTTTAGTTTAAAATTTGAAATGTTTAAATAATAGCAACTAGATTGAAATCCTGCGAGACATAGCAGAAGTCTTCTGCAGATTCTTTTTTATTGCAAAAAGAGATCAAACTGTCAAGCATATGATGGAAAACTAGCATTGCCTGCTTTTATATTTTCTTGGTCATGTGCTGAAATCGTTTCCCATGGTAATTCTTTGTATTTTATTTCCTTCATATGCCTTTTGAGTTTGCTTGCATGTACACACATCTAATTCTACTGATGAACAGGCTCTGCTGCTGGCTGGGGTCGGCAAGACGATGCTGCGGTGGTTAAGGTACAGAAAACTAATAACATAGGAAATGTACAATAAGCAAAGTTATCACAAGTGATTGAAGTCAGATACTTGTGTTTAACTGCAAATGTTTTGTATCTCCACAGGTTTACCAGACATTCACAGGTGTTAAAGTGAAAGGAAAACTTTGGGGGAATCATGAAAAACCTCCTCTGTATACAACATGTTCCTTTGCACCCCTTCGTTTCAAGAACCACTACACATTTCATCCTCAAGTTATGGGATTAAGGTTTTTGTCAGTCTAACTGTAATATGTTAACATTGCCCTTTCTTTTATATCGTTTTAGCAGAGTCTCATGGTCCCTCCTTCGCCCTTCATCTTTTTCTCATTGTTTATTTCTGTAGTTTGACTGCAAGAAACCAGTCAGTCTTCTTAGCAGCTAAGAGTTTGATTTTTTCTTTTTTCTTTTTCAGCAATTTTAGTCATGCCTGTTGTAGTTAATAATTGAAAGGAAAATACCTATCATTTCATTCAAGGAACAGCTGATTCAGAGCAATTGATTTTCATGACAACTTCCATTTTCGATTCTATGGTTCTAGTTAAAAAATCTCAAAGTTCAAAAAAGGAATTAATTTAGGATCGAACAACATGACCCAACTTTAAGGTCACCTAGCTTTATTACAATAAAAGTACAATCTATCTCAGCAGAAACAAACTGACATCTTGTAAGACAGAGAAAAACAAAACTAAATAGAAAATATCTGAACATGATAACATAATTTACTCTAAAATAATTTCTCCCTAAGAGATTTTTATTTAATGTGCTAGGTTTATGTCTTCTTCTCCTTGTTGGTACCATCTTTTCTAGCTTTCTTGGCCCTAAATTGATCCAAAAGTGACTTCTCCCTTCCTTTCTCAGCCTTCAACTTGTGGATGCTTTCCATAAGAACACGTTTGTTCTTGAAGACATTTCCTTTCACCTTCATGTACATCTCATTGTACATGTGTTTATCAATCTTTTCAAATTCTCTATACTTTCGAAGCAAACGTCTCAACACTCTCATTTTCCTCATCCACAGCAACTTTGATGGTAGCCTTGCCTCTCTTGTCCCCTTCCTCTTTCCATAACCCGAGTGCCTCCCTTTAATCTTGGCTTCTTTCACTTTCCTTGTCCTTGATCTTGAATGGGTTATCATTGGTTTTTGGATAATAAATCCATCCTTTATGAGCTTCCTTACGTTCATCCCTGCAACATAGCATGTCTTATTAATTACTCATCCAACGCAAAATCAGTTGCATGATCAAAATTAACTAAAGCTACAATATTTAATCAAGCATACTAATTTAACCGAAAGATTCTTTTTGAAATCACTTTTCAAAAGATCCCATACATCTCACCAGTAAATCACACAAAAAAAAAAGGTAAAAGCATAGAAGAGTTACTGGAATTGGCCATGGAGATGTCACTGGTCTCATTAGGATCAAGCCACAATTTTCCTTTACCGCAATCGAGTATACTAGCAGCTAGACGCTTCTGCAGCCTAAGTGACACCATTGTGATTGATTACACTTCCTCCTTTCCCTTTTCAGATGAACTGAGAACCAAAATGGATGCAAGAAATTAAAGTTCGAGGTCTCTTGAAAGCTCTCTTGACTTAATACCATGAAGAGACAATATTTCAGGTTCTCATGTATATAAGGGAAGGAGACACGCGGACTATCTGTCACGCGTTACTTGGGGAGCAAGTATTCTGAGTTGGATGAATGTATTATTTACCACATTTCTGTGTTAGGAAAAAACGAAAAAGGTTGACAACTTTCTTTTCTTGGAGACAAAGGAATCAAGGAACAAAGAATTGTTGTGGCAGAGAAATGGTTGGCCACTTGGGCGTGGGCTATGAGATCTTAGGGAAGCCGGATGATTTTGGACTAAACATGATAAGAAAGGTGCCCCAGCCCAAACATGAAAGATATTAAATTCATTAATTGATGGGTTGTTTATCAGATTCTTTCCAAAAGCTTTTATTATTATTTTTTTTTTTACTTATTCTATGTTTCAATAGTATCTCAATCCGGTACTTATACACGTCTTCGTTAACAAAAATAACAGAAAATATATTTTTCTTTTCTTTTCTTTTTTTAATGTGTAAACTTTATTTTACCTCAAAAGGATAGATTGTGTATCTATTAATTCCCAAAAAATAGATTCCATGTGATTCGTTTTAATATATATATTTTGAAAACAAATTAAATTAAAAAAAGGCATAGAAATGTATTGAACATGAAATTCAATATAAGAATACAAAACAATGAAAATTCCAAAAGAATATTTGGATACAAAATTTTCCAACTTTGTTAATACATAAGTAAATCTTGTCCCTTTTTTTTTCTTTGTTATCACCATCTAATTTTATTCTTACTAACTTTAAGAAAAAAAAACATTATTCGCAATTGTTTTTATTCATTCTTAAACTTTCGGCTAAAAACTCTCAATTATTGCTAATTTCAAAATATCAAAATATATGTTTTCATTTTTTTTTATTTGATTCTTCTAGTACTTCTATGTACTCTTCTTCAACTTGAATGAACAAAATTAAAACTATTTTAAATTTAAAAAAAGTACAAAATTTTTCTCATATGTTTTGGTAAAAATAATTTACTCAAATAGAATTATAAAAAGATTTACTCCACGTTTGATTTCTTTACAATTTGATTTTTTTTATTGTGATTTTTTATGATTTTTCAATTTGATTGAAATCTTTTATTTTTCTAAATTTATTGATTCAGACTTTCTCTTAATTGAAATCCAACATGACATGTTAGCAACTAATTAGGTATGAAAATATGTGATATGAGCCTCAATTATTTTAATATATATTTGACATTAAAAAATATTAAAATTAAAAATATTCATATTATTAAACTAATATTTAGTATATAAAAACAAAATCTAAAAACGAAATTACCCTCACTCCTGTTATACCAACTAAACCCTAGCAGCCACCTCCTCTTCACCATAACCCTCCACCATTATAGCTTACCAACCACCAGCCACCCATAACCACCGCAATCCCTCACACCATAACCAACCGCACCATAACCTGTTCCACCTATTTTTCACTCTTTACCCAAATCCTCATCCTAGCCACTCCTCTATCCCGAACACAACCCCTCCAACCTGTTAAAACCCAACAATTTAGCCCTAGCCACCACTGACCACAACATCCATCTCCCTTCAGTCACGCCTCAGCTAGCCCAAAACCCTGGCCGACTAGTCCAGAGCATAAAGTTGGTTATCGCACACAGACCTTCCAAGTACAACATATTTTTTAAAATTGCTACACCTCTGAACAAATATATTTCAATCTTCCTCGTCCATATCAGCTTGAGTAATAAGATTGTCAAAGCACTAAAAGAAGGTTTAATGTCATTCAAATTGATAAATGCCATTAGAGGTGCTGGAGCCCATCCAAGTCAGGTCTCGTTGGGTATTCAAAACCTTGAAGCATTGACATGCATTCCAAATCCTCTTCTGAATAAGCAAGGGTGAACCAGTATTTATTAGCCGACCCAAATACTTGACATAGGAAACAATAACTCACCATCATGACACAGGAAGCACCGGCTTTGGGGATATAGGATTATAGGGATTTGGATTTCCAGCTAGAGGGAAAGGGAGAATGGGATGGGGCAATGTGGCATTTTTCAATAATTTATAAATATTAAGTATTAATTTAATAATAAAAATGTTTTTAGCTTTAAAAAAAAAAAAAAATCGATAGGAGTTAGTGTTACTTGAGACCTATATCAACATGTGTTCATACCTGATTGGTTATCGTTAATTTTACCTTATCACGTGAGATGAATATTTAACAATGCTATAACGGATAGTCCGAATCAATAAATTTATAAAAATGAAAGATTTCAATCAAACTGAAAAATCATAAAGAGTTTTAATATAAAAAAATTGAATTGTATGAGAAACCAAATATAGAGTAAACCTAATTGTAAAAAATGCAATGTGATTGAAGAACATCACCCTCTCCAAATATGTAAAACAGGCATTACCAAAAAAAATATATATATATTCTTAGGGATCTCACCGCCAAATAATTGTTTTTTTATTGAGAAAAACTAACGATGGAAGTTTTTCCATCCATAATTTCACACAGATATGTGATGAAACATCAATGGAAATTATTTTAAAAATTTAAATTTTTATGGTTTTTGTTGGAATTTCCAAAGGAAATTAAATTATTTTTTTCATTTTTTTTATAATTAGTTCGGAATGGATTTACCAACGGAAGGGACTGTGCATCTCATTCCTTTACCGAAAAGATTTTTAGTTATAATTAAATACGATCGTCAATCGCACTCTCATTTCTATATTAGTAAGGAGATACATGCATGCTAATAATTTAAACAATTTTTGAACGTAAATACATACATTCACACAAGCGCAATAATAAGTAATCGAAGCATGCTTGCATTCAAGCAACAAAACATAAAATAAAATAAAATAAAATAAAATGTTTTTTTCCTTTCATATCGTCCAATTGAGTGAGTATTAAAGCATAAATAGTCACAAAAGCATTCTAAAAACAAAATCCTACTAGTTCAATATGCTTTCCAAACATAAGGCAATCATAAAAGCAATTTTCACACAAAATTAAGTATATTTAGTGGAATTTTTAGATAATGGCAAAATATCAATAACTTTACAATCTAATCATGTTTCTAATACAATTATATTTAGTGAAATAAACATAACTCTTAAGAGATTAGTTTAATTATTAAAAAGATTGATTTGGATATTGACTTTCAAGTTTGAATAGTATTATAAGTAAAATTTATTTCTCTAAAAACACTTAATTAGTATGAGAAATGAACTATTAAAATCTTCTTAGAAAAAAATTAATCTCGATTGTCATAAATAATAATTACGTTCGCACAAACAATTTAAAACAAAATAAAATAGTAATGTTGTAACATGGAAATTATTTAAAGCAAATACAAAAACAAATTTATAGCCTAGCATGTCTATTCTAACCAATCAAGCTAGATTAGGTTAACTTGAGATTATATTTTTATAATCTCACGACGATAAAAAAAAAATGTCGTCTATCGTAAATTGGAACTGAACCCCTAAGATACCCTCGCAAGGCAATTGCTTTGTCTTATAAAATTCCTTTTGATTGAGAATAATTCAGACACAAGTCACACAACCAGGTCTTAGGCCCACTGGTTTGGACTTTTAATGTTATTTCTACCAAGGTTTTAGGCCCAGTCCCAATTTATTCGTTTAATTAGGTCAAGAGTTTCTCATCTCTGTGATAACAAATATCTCCCTCTCGTCTCGATCCAGAATTTTTAGCTTTTGGATCAATCAAACCCCTGATTTCTATCACTCTTAAACCTTAGCGCCATCACCACCATGAAACGCCAAATCGACGACATTACCGTCTCCAAAAACCAAAGCAAACCCGTCTTCTTAACCAAAGCTCAACGCGAGCAATTAGCTCTTCAACGCCGCCAAGAAGAAATCGAACAACAGAAGAAACGCCAGCAACTCCTCCTCTCCCAAACTCGCCCCTCCAACTCCGACTCCGACAAACCACCCTACGATTCTGACCGCCGTGACAGAGACCGAGACCGTGACCGTGATAGAGACCGGGACAGGGACAGGGACAGGGACAGAGAGCGGGAACGGGAGCGGGATAGAGAGAGGGAACGCGAGCGCGAACGATCTTCGCGGCGCAACAGAGAACGCGAACGTGAAGAGGAAGCAAAGGCGCGTGAGCAAGCCAGATTGGAGAAATTAGCCGACAGAGAGCGAGAGAAGGAGCTGGAATCTATTAAAGAGCAATATTTAGGGTCCAAAAAGCCTAAAAAGAGAGTAATTAAACCCAGCGAGAAGTTTCGCTTCTCTTTTGATTGGGAAAACACCGAAGATACTTCCAGAGACATGAATATTTTGTATCAAAACCCTCATGAGGCACAACTTTTGTTCGGTCGAGGGTTTCGGGCTGGAATGGACCGGAGAGAGCAGAAAAAACTTGCTGCACAGAATGAGAAGCTAATGAGAGAGGACATTCGGAAAAAGGAAGGCTTGGAGGAGAAGCCAGAAGAGGCGGCCGCACAAAGATTGAAGGAAGAAGCTGCTGATATGTATGATACTTTTGATATGCGTGTTGATAGGCATTGGTCCGAGAAGAAGCTTGAAGAAATGACTGAGAGAGATTGGAGGATATTTAGGGAAGATTTTAATATTTCTTATAAGGGTTCTAGGATTCCCCGGCCGATGAGAAGTTGGGCAGAGAGTAGGTTGAGTAGTGAGTTGTTGAAGGCAGTGGAAAGAGCAGGGTATAAGAAGCCTTCACCTATTCAAATGGCAGCGATTCCATTGGGATTGCAACAACGTGATGTAATTGGGATTGCTGAGACTGGTTCTGGTAAGACTTGTGCTTTTGTTTTGCCTATGTTGACTTATATTTCAAGGTTGCCTCCAATGAGTGAGGAGAATGAGGCCGAAGGGCCTTATGCAGTTGTTATGGCACCGACACGTGAGTTGGCGCAACAGATTGAGGACGAAACCGTTAAGTTTGCACATTATTTGGGTATTAAAGTTGTTTCTATTGTTGGTGGGCAGTCTATTGAGGAGCAAGGTTTTAGGATTAGGCAAGGTTGTGAGGTGGTCATTGCTACTCCTGGTCGTTTAATTGATTGTTTGGAGAGGCGTTATGCTGTTTTGAATCAGTGTAATTATGTTGTGCTTGATGAGGCTGATAGGATGATTGATATGGGTTTTGAACCCCAGGTTGTCGGTGTGTTGGATGCAATGCCATCAAGTAATTTGAAGCCAGAAAATGAAGATGAAGAGCTTGATGAGAAAAGGATTTATCGCACCACTTATATGTTTAGTGCTACCATGCCACCTGCAGTGGAGCGACTTGCGAGGAAGTACTTGAGAAATCCTGTTGTGGTCACTATTGGCACTGCTGGAAAGACCACCGACTTGATATCTCAACATGTGGTGATGACAAAGGAATCAGAGAAGTCCACCAGGCTGTTTAGATTGCTTGATGAACTTGGAGATAAGACTGCAATTGTGTTTGTTAACACTAAAAAGAATGCAGATATGGTGGCCAAGAATTTGGACAAGCATAGTTATCGTGTGACGACTTTGCATGGTGGGAAGTCCCAGGAGCAGAGGGAAATTAGCCTTGAAGGTTTTAGGACCAAAAGATATAATGTCCTTGTTGCAACAGATGTTGCTGGTCGTGGTATTGATATACCTGATGTGGCCCATGTCATTAATTATGATATGCCTGGAAATATTGAAATGTATACTCACCGTATCGGACGAACAGGCCGTGCTGGAAAGACAGGTGTGGCTACAACATTCTTGACTTTTGGGGACACAGATGTCTTTTACGATCTCAAGCAAATGCTTATTCAGAGTAACAGTCCTGTGCCTCCTGAATTGGCTAAGCATGAGGCCTCAAAATTCAAGCCAGGAACAGTTCCTGATAGACCTCCTAGACGAAATGACACTGTTTTTGCTCACTGAGAAACTTTGAGTTTCAGAAGACTCTGGAACATTCGATGTGCAATATAGTGGTATCTGAAACTTCGTTGCTTACTGCCGCACCAATGGTATTGAGTTTACCACTGTTGGAATTCAAGGATCCAGATTTTATTCATGAAACTTCTGCTGCTTATATTTTCTTGATATAGAATTTCTGCCATTATCTAGTAATAGAAGATTTCATGTTGATATTAGTGGAGAATGTCATATTTGAACTCTTTTTTTTTCCTGAATAAAGGTGCACCTGACTTGAAGGGTTGACATTCTTAACATATTGAACTTTTTGATGTTTACTTCTTATATATATATGTATGTATGTATGTATCACATTTTAGCTGCAGCAGTTCTTTGTGATTTGCATTTGTTTTCATTAATTGAATACACCAACTTTGATATTATGGTTTATTTGGAGATTGAGGTAAATAAAAGATTGCATTGAAATAGATTTATAACTTGATATGTATAATTTTTGTCACTCCGAGTTCAAATTCTATCAGTGGAGCTTATTTTTGTCCTTGTTAGGAAAAGGAGGTGTTGGTTGAGAACGGGTTTCTAAATACAAGTGCCAACTCATGTTTGAGTGACTCTTAGTCCCAAAATGTTTTGGGGAGAGTAAAGGGCCTTCCCCTTCCGCTTTCTCCCTTTTCCTGACAAGTAACAGCCAGATTTTTCCATCCTTTGTAAAATTTCTTCAAAGCAGTTTTTCATCTGTTAGTTTTCCCATCTATTTGGCATGGCCTATTACTCTCCTATGAGTTCTGTGCTTATTTTATACAATAACATCTTAATCTTGCATTTGTTTTGGCGGGCTGTGGTGGTTTGGGGTGATTTTTCAATGGATGCAGGGTCTTCGAGACTAGTGTATGCGGTTTTTGGGAGGTGACACCAAAGCTCATTTCCATGGTACTTTGGTCCAGAATTTGGTAAGTTACTCTAAGATGATACATGCTTTATGCTTGATTGGAATTGGTTCATTCGGTTATCCTTTCATAGTATTTAGATATGATGTTTTTTCTAGCCATTGGTAATTCTTTCATTCAACTGATCTGTTTTTTCTTATAGAAAATAAAATTATGTTTTGTGCCAAATTAATTAAGCTCATATTGAAGTTCAAGTGATCTGAATTAATGTAAGAGCACATTAAGCATTTGTTTACATCTATTATGGAAAACTTTGATTTTCAGATTTTGGGGTATAGTTTTGGATATAGCCAAATCAATTTACGGTTCCTCTTCCACTTTTGGATGTAGCTTATCAACAGCTTATCTTTGGTAAAGGTAGTGATGCGTGGATTGTGTCTTCCTCAAATAACATTTCCCTTTTCACTTACTTCGCCTTGGAGCATATAAATCATCAAGGATTACAAACGGTAGCAAATTGACTGTTTGGAATTTAGGGAATAGGTTATATATGAAGATTGTGGTATGTTTAAGGGTAAGGTGATTAAAATAGGTGAAAGGAGCAAAGGATATTATGAAGTTTATAAATTGAAGTGGAGAAGAAAGCATTACACTAGTAGGATTCTAGGAAGAATGCTTAGAAGATAGATAACTTACATCACATGAGGCTCTTAGGAGTCACACATAAGATGTTACAAATTGTAGCAAATTCGACTGCTTCAAACTTAGGGAATTGGTTATAGGTGAAGATTGTGGTGTGTTTAAGGGTAAGGTGATTAAAGTAGGTAAAAGTAGCAAAATATATTATGCAGTTTATAAATTTAAGTGGCGATGAATACAAGAACACTACTGGCATCACACTAGTAGGATTTCTAGGAAGCACACCTAGTTGATAGAAAACGTTCATAACACTAGGGTTCTTAGGAGTCTCACGTAAGTTAGGTTGCATCACACAATCTCTAAGCATATAGCTGAAATTCTCATCTGTTGACAAGTTCATTTAAAAGTTTGGGGTTACTAACAAGTACATAGAGAAAAATACAGAGGTGCCTTGACACTAAGGAGGTCCTCCTTAGATGGCGCCAGCTGGCCTTTCAACTACTCAATAGTGTAGTTGTTGACTGGTCAATATTACAAAATTACCTGTGTAAGACAAAATTACAGAACTGCCCCTGGCAGTTTAGACCCCAAAATCCTACAATTAATGAGTTCCAACTGGGATTCTAGCCAAATACGCATGCTGGCTTTAGAATTAGGTTCTCCCATCTTCCAAAACCACATGAAGATATATGGGTTTGAATTGTTTCAGTTTCTGCACCATAATGATTTCACTGCTGAAGATTATCTCCCTGCACTGGTTGTGAATTTCTCATAGGTTTTTGTGGCTTGCTTTTTAAAGCTGATAGTTAGCTTGGCAGATATTTTGGCTATCTGCATTGTTAATTTGCTATCCAGGTTTGGGAAAAATTTCCTAGCCAGTGCAGAATCCTATGGCCCTGACCAACTGGTCTGGCCAGTTTACAACCAAATCTGCTGCTATGAAGCGAATTGTTTTTCCTGGTCTTGCAGCAATGGGATTTTTCTTCACAACTCACTTGCTGAAATCTATTTTCTGTGTTGTTGGTTATTATGCAATCCGTAGCTTCTGTTGGAATCATATTGAAGGAGTCAACTCCTGCTTAAAGCAGGACGAATGAATTAATTTAGCTGTTAATGTTTTTCCTGAATTTCTTTATTTGTCACCTTTGTTACATTTCCCATTAGTATAGAAGTTGAATGATAAAGCATCATATGTCCTGGTGAATTCCATCTTACAATTGGAGGATTAAAGTCAAGTGACCCTGTAACTGTTTACTCTGTAGTCCTTTAGTTATGCTGGTTATTGTTTGATTAGCGTTTCTAGGGGATCTATTCTTTTTTAAAGTTCCTGTGATGAAACCTGACAGAAAATAACCCTTCATGGGTGGCAGGTCCGCAAGCCAATACTTGCTCGGCTTGCAGATGCTGGTGGATTGACCGCTAACCTTCCACCAGAAGTATCTAAAAGTTATTTGAGGCATATTGATAGATCTTCAATTTGAGTTGACAAACACAATGATTGATAAAACAGTGAAAGCCATTTGCAATTCTACAGTTCTAAATCTAAAGATTTTTGACGTCATGCTAGGCTTAATTATGTCTTCTTCTTGATGATACGTTCAGTTATAGATTTCTTGGCCCTAAATTGATCCAAAAGTGACTTCTCCCTTCCTTTCTCAGCCTTCACTTTGTGAATGTTTTCCATAAGCAAACGTTTATTCTTGAAAACACTTCCCTTCACCCTCATTGTACAAGTGCTTCTCAACCTTATCAGTTTCTCTCTACTTCTGAAGCAAACGTCTCAGCACTCATTTTCCTCATCCACGATAACTTTTATGGTAGCCTTGCTTCTCTCGTTCCTTTCCTCTTTCCATAACCCGAGTGCCTCCCTTTGGTCTTGGCTTCTTTCACTTTCCTAATCCTTGATCTTGAATGGGGTATCATTGGGTTTCTAATAATAAAACCATCCTTTATGAGCTTCCTTGTGTTCATCCCTGCAATGGATATCGTCATCAATCATTAGCCAGTCTCATAGACAATAAAATCGTTTGCATGATGAAAATTAATTTATGCCGCCTAAACAGCATCAAAAAGAGAGCTAGCAAATTGAGAAATAGAAGATGTAGTAGTAGAATACTAGTTTGATACATGTGCTGTGGTCTCATAACCGTTTCATATATAAGGTCAATGATTCATAAGATGTGATATGAGTAGAAATCTTATTTCGATGATTAATATTAATTGAATCTATTTGTTAGGCGAAGAAAATTTTTATCTAAGTTTTATATAATATTTTTGTTTGCAATGTTTATTTGTGGTTTTAGGCAATAAGCACACGGTGAGATAGCGAAACGTATATAATATTATAAAACGATGCATAAATGGAATTACAATGCCTTTTATGTTTTACCATTATTGTCTTTCATGGTGTGTGTGATGATTTAGGCATGTGGACGAGGATGATAGGGTATTTCTAGGACTATGTTATTGACATCAAAGACATGAGTTGCCATGAAATGGTAGCCTGATGATGTGTTATGGAAAACGTGGTGTCGAATCTGAAAAATCTTCAATTTATCAATGGTATCCATAATTGTTGTGGGAGTATGTTTTTGTCAGCAAATTAGTTCAATACTAATTGCCCGAATGCATATCCAAAACATGATCCAGCTACATTTTCGATGAGTAGGGATAGTATAAGATAATAAAAAGAAGACTTAATATGCTTTTATATGCGCATCAAACAAAAAGGGACTTGGATAATTTTTACTATAAAGGAAAAAGTTAATTCATGATGTTTGGAGTTGCTTACTATGGGATGGGATCATTAATGAGTATGTCATGGGTTGTGCACGAGTAGACGTTTGTGGTTTTTTTGCCAAGTAATGACATAACGGAAATGTCGAATACCACTAGCCAAAACTTGCGTCAATATGAACTATTATGCCTTCAATTGTGTAACAAACCTTCTATTAAATAAAAAACAACTAATGAGTTGAGTGTGTTTTCAACAACCATTAGTAAAATCTTGTGTCAATATGGACTATTGTTACTTCAATTGTGTAACAAACCCTTTATTAGAAAAACAACTAATGAGCAAAAAGGATTTTTAATAATTTTATTTTTACAAATTGGTAGGGATTTTCATAAATCTCGGCATTCTCGATTGGTAGTTGGAGCATGTGCTCAATGGTTTATTTGTTTTTACTTTGCAACCTCTTGCTATCTTTGGCTAGAAATGACAAATTCAGATTGTGAACTTGAAAGAATTAGATCAGGAAAAAAACACATGTATTATGATAAGATTGAAAAGAAAAAAGAATTAATATTGTCCTCGTTTTCATTTGTAGAGCGGTGAGGCTCTTGGTGATCGATCATGGCTCATGTTTTTTGTTTCGGGTGGAGGAGAGCAATGTCGAGTTTTGGTAATGTTATGATTTAATAGGTGTCAAATATTTATAAAGACCTTATGTAGTTGTGTTTGCAAAACTTGTAGTCCTACTT